TTTTTTTTTATTGCTAGTGGGGTGGGACTAAGTCCCTTGTACTGCGGCCATTTCTGGCCTACTGTACCAGCCCCAGATGATAGGCGAGGGTGATTGTGGAGCAATTGGTGGAATGAAGATTGGCAGGGGAAACCGATTTACGCGGAGAAAACCTGCCCCAGCGCCACTTTGTCCACCACAAATCCCGCATGACCAGACCCGGGGTCGAACCCGGGCCGCCGCGGTGGGAAGCCAGCGACTAACCGCTTGAGCTATGGCGTGGCCTGGACCATGCGATGTTACATAGTGCATATAGTGAAGTGTCTTTAAATAATTCCCAAACACATAAAATTATCAAGTTATCCCTCAACTTAATTAAGCACTTGAAGGCGTATTGGGAAGTGGGGGCAGTCTTTACCTCGGCACTAAATAAAGAGGAGTAATCGGCTTCACGCCGCGGCTGATTTATCCTCGGGCACTAAGCTCCATGTACCTTGGGTGGTACCCAGAGAACTCTCTTACCCTCAGGGGAATTGAACCCCGGTCACGCAGCCCACAGCCAATCACTACAATGACTAAGATGTCTCGAGTTATAATCGTAAAGGCAGGCTAAAATAAGTAAATAAATACATAAAATAAACTACTGTAAAAAGGAGACTTCGAAATAATCCAAAAAGTTTTAGTAGTTCAAAATTTTGCAGCAATTAACTACGCACTCCTGACGTTTCATGTGCCCTTCAATGCATGTAGCAGCAATAGCTAACAAAGAAACCTCCTTTCGGTTTGTTTTGGGTTGGGCTGGCTTCATATAATTCCCGTCACTATGGAAATGCTCCTGACTAGAGTCCGACCGCGATTTAATGAGCCCTTGTAACAGCGCTCAAACTTATCCGCCTCGAAACAGCACCGGTAGACGGTCACGTGTTTGGCAAGCGTGTTGTCAGTTGTATGGCTTATCTTCCTGGTTTCATTTGCATTCTTCGAAGTTCTGGGGGGACATGAATATCTGACAAGAGTTGGAACTTTGCTGTATCAAATGCAGGCCGGACCAGGGACCATTAAATAGCGGTCAGACTGGAGGGAGCTGAGGTAACCCTGACAAAGTTAGTATATCTTCCAGAATGTGACACCGTGAGGTCTGGCAGAAAACATACTGTCTCTCTTTTCATGGTCGAAGGTCTGCTTCTTGATGGTTACTTTATTGATTATATCTTCCACCATGAGGATGGAGGCAGTACGTTCATCCGAAACACTGAATTTCTACAGGGCTAAGGGCCCTGTCAGAAGGGGCACACGGTAGCGTGGTTGGTTAAGGCACTATACTATAAGGCGGAAGGTCGCGGGTTCGAGTCCCGATGAGGTGGACTTTTTTCAATTGACCTAATCCTTCCAGCCTCAATATGACCCTGGGGTCGACTCAGTCTCTAACAGAAATGAGTACCAGGAATCTTCACGGGGGTAAAGGGCGGCCACCTCACCGCCATCTGTGAGCAGAGTGTCTAGAGAAAATGTGGGAACCTCGACGTCTCACAACCCTATGGGCCTTCACGGCCTCTTACAGGGATAGTTTTACCTTTCTAATCTGTCATAATTGTAAATGTCAATGCAGAACTTGATACTTGAACAAATAATTATTATTCCTTAAGTTTGAAATTCCATTTCCTCTTTCTCTTTTGTTGATTGTTCGACGAGGCTGTCAGTCGATACTATATGCAGGCGCATGATGGCATGATAAAAAAATGATGAATTGGAAAAATTTGGTAGTGGTTGTGGCTTAATTGAATTTCCATCCCGGCATTTGCCTTGAGGGTCTGAGAAAAATCACGAAAAATCTCAGGAAAGTTGGTGTCACGGCCAAGATTCGAACAGAACACCTCCATAACACAAGTCTATAGCTTTATTGCTACATCAGCCTGCTTGGTTTGTTATTTACAAAAGTAAATCCTTATATTTATATTTTTTTTTTTTGCTGTGGAATAACTTTAAAAATTTTACTGTTTCCAGCCCTTTGCATATCTAGTGCAGTAGTTTCATCCACAACAGTCGAAAGGGAACACTGTAGTAGTCAATACATTGTTTTTGTTCCCTCAGAAGAGTGATCTCCCTCCAACATGAAACGCATTATCCTGTGGTCAGTTTTGGTGACTGCAGTCTTTTCAACAGATGGCAGCATATACATTGCAGAGGCAGAGACAAAGGGCCCTGGACGTAAGTCTGAAAATCTTGTATATCGAATTCAACATTTTGACTTAATTTTAACTTGTTTTCTCCCTCCCACACTTCTTATTTGTTTAATTATGAATTAACGATAACGCAAGAAGACCTAATAAGGCAGCGAGTGCTACCGCTCTCTTCGAAAACGTTTTTTTTTCTTCTAAAAACTTAGGGTAAGTTAAGCTGTCCCTGTGCTTAATTAAGCGCTATGCAATGACGGCGTATGGGAGAGTCGGTGTATAGGACCATATCCTCTTGACCTCGGCACTAGATGGGAGTGGTCATATTCAAGCCCCGTCCGTTTTATCCCCCGGTAAGGTAAGTTAAAGTTCTCCCTGTGCTTAACTAATTAAGCACTACACCATAAAGGCGTGTGGGGGAGTGGATGTATAGGTCCACATTTTCTTTACCTCAGCAATAGTTGGAGGTGAGTGGTAAGCTTCACTCCCTGGCCGCTTTACCCCTTGTATCCATTGGATAGGAGGTTGGGTGGACCCCAGAGCCGGTCTGGACGACGTGGAGAAGAGAAAATTCTTGACCGTACCGGGACTCGAAATTCGACCTCTTGGTTGTCCAGCCCGTAGCTAGTCGCTATACTGACTACACACTGAATCGAAGACTGATTGGACACAAGAACCGGTCTGGAGGCTATGGAGAAAAGGAACATCCCTATTGGGATTTGAACCCGCGCCTTCTAGCCCGCAGACTGTCCTTATTACTTACTTACTTCCTTATGGAGCTGAGCCCTTCTTGAGGGGCCGCCAATTCTGCAGATACTCAAGAAATTCCCAGAATTTTATGGAACCCATAGGTTCATTGCTGTGTTCACAAAATCCCTCCATTGGTCCATATCCTGAGCCAGATCAACCCAATCCATACCATCCCATCCTATCTCTCTAAGATCCATTTTTATATTGTCCACCCACCTACGCCTTGGTCTTCCCAGCGGTCTCTTTCCTTCTGGCTTTCCCACCAATATCCTATATGCATTCATTTTCTCCCCATTCGTGCTAAATGCCCTGCCTACCTCATCCTTCTTGACTTGATCATTCTAATTATGCTTGGAGAAGCGTACAAGTTATGAGCAGACTGTCCCTATACCATCTGAAAACGTAAAAATTAACACAGAAATGCAATTTTTTCTTGTTTTATATGGGCATGCAACTGGTCTATAGCATTTAACAGGTGTTGAGGACGGCATTTGGACCTGATGGGGCAGATTTGAGAGCAAGCTCAAGAAAACTGCTTAATGAAGATAGTCATAATTCGTACTACTAGCAAAACATTATTACAATGTTCAAATCAAGAAGGTTGGGACAGGCTGGCATGTAGAACACATGGAGAAATGCATACAAAGATTTGGTAGACTGATCTGAATGAAGAAGACCACTAGGAAGACTTAGGGATAGATGGGAGGATAATATTAAATTGGATCTTAAATAGGATAAGAGGATGGATGAAAGTATGTCTTAAAATTATTATGATGCATACATGGCCAAAATGAATAGTATCTATTCCACAGAGTTGAGTCCTTGATAAGCTAACAGTTCCTCAGCCACTTAAGAAACTCCCATCATTTTATGGGGCTTAAAGGTCTAATGGGTACCGGTGAGGGGGTAAAGAGGCAGGGGCTTGAAGCTGACCACTCACCTCCAACTAGTGCCAAGGTCAAGAACATTTGGATCTATACCTCCACTCCCTCATATGTCTTCATGATGTAGTGCTTAATTAGTTAAGTGCAGGGACAACTTTACCTTTTAAAGGTAAATTACAGTGTTCTCAAGATCCTGCAATTGGTCCTTATCCTGAGTCAGATGAATTCAATCCACAAAACTAACATCCAATTTCTTTAAAATGTTAATATTATCTTTACTTCCATGTCTATTAATTCCTGTGGTCTTCTTCTTTCACATTTTCGTAACAGAATTTTCTGTAGGCCTATCTCCCATATGCGCTACACACTGTCAATCCCCTCACTGATGTGACACTGTGAATACAAATCACGATGCTTTGGATCCTGTATTTTTCAGCTTCTTGCCTAATACAAATAGCATTAAAATTGAAAGTAAATTGAAAGTTAAAGGAAGTAAAACTGAAGTGTGAATGAAAGTTTTGATTTACATGACTCTGAAATTTGTGATCACTCTCAGTAGTTACGAAACTACTGCAGAAGTTGGAACCTGCTCCACTATTTAGTTATCTCAAGAAAGAGATATAAAATTCTGTCCCAGTCTTCTATAAATATGATGATTATAATATTACCGTCTAAACGATGCAGCAAGGAATGCTGTTTATCATGTTTAAGTATACACACAAACACCCATCTCACATGTACTAATCTCTCTCCACAGTTTACCACTATGATCTTGCTGTTCTGGGAACTGTACTTGCCATCAAGTTTAAAGCAGTTCTTTTAGTCCTGGCGGTCATCTTTGGAATAGGCGTATACTACAAGCTGTTTGCTGGGTTTGGTAACTACTACAAGGGCCTCAAATGTCAGCCACCTGTCATATATGAGTCACCAAGCCATGGAAAATATAATTATGACCACGAACCATACGGGAATTCTGAAAGACGCGATAGAGCAAATGATTTTACAAAATACACTGAGAATTTGGACTTTGAATTGCTGACAACTGTGATGAAAGGGTAGGTTAATTAATGAATACCATGATACATAATCTTGCTCCAAAATCAGATAAATAATTTGTCAATATTTAGCAACAGAATAAGTTGATTTGCTTTTCAGAATTGGCCTTCGGGACCTAAGTTTCAACATCACGGATAAAGGAAATGGATCATGCAGGAGACGAATTGTTTGTGAAGCAGACAGACTGGCCAGTACAAATCCAGTGGTGGGTTATGCCATCGATCTTCTAAGGTACATTCATCCCTGCGCATATTACGTATTATATCTATTTCTGTATGGTCTATTTAATAACATTTGCAGTAGTAAAAGTATATATACAATCAAGTGGAGTGGATATGATCTAATTTGAGGTATATTCCTAGCAACTGCTTGGATGATATGAGGAAAATGACTAATAAACTGAGTTAGGACAGCCAGTCTTTGAGGTCAATGTAAGATACTTCATATCAAGAGGGCTTCAAAACATATAATATCTAATCTTGTCATATCTGTTTAAAAACTATACAATTATGAACCTTTTCAAGGATGAGACATATTTTTCATATATCCAGTTTAAATTTTAAAGTGTTTTCAGTAGTAAATCACTAGTATTTAATTTTGATTAAACATCTTGAAATATCTTTTAGGACAGTGAATGTATGCTACAGAAGATCAGAACAGCGGCATGAAATGAAAAAGGTTTAACTGCTGGCATGGTGCATGTAACATAACTGGGAAGCCAATCCTAAACATTTCTCATATCAGTTTATATCAATAATCATGACTATTATCTTGGATACTGCTTATCATCTTAAATTTATAATGTGTATATATTTAGCGTCTTTTAGTGCATACAGTTTCACTTGTCACTTCACACTACATGTTTCGGCATCATTCTGCCACCCTCAGGTGTATCAATCATTGCACTGCCTGCCATCAAGTGTCCATTTATAAAATGACATAAAATGTGTTTGTCGTTCAATAATAAAATTTATATATTAAAACTTGTTAAGATCTATCATCTTACATGTCGTACATCAAACTCGTATGTGACGCCATTCATCCGCTATGGGAGTCTTTCTTCTTATGTTTTAATTGTGTATATACTGCGTCTTCTGATGTGTCTTTCTTATGTGGCTGAGTGCTTTGTATGGATAGCAGAATGATGCCGAAACATGTAGTGTGAAGTGACAAGTGAAATTGTATGCACTAAAAGACGGTAAATACTATGGATACGAATCAGTGCAACAGGACGCTAAAATATAACAATCTTAAATTTATTTAAAACACAGCATTTTGGAAACTACATCTGAGGGTGCTGTGATCTCTTTCTAACAGGCCAAAGTGAGTACAAACCTCTCCCCCTTTCATCTCAATGGAAATAGATGCAGTTTCCAAAAACACTGTCCTATAAAACTGTAGACAAGTACATCTAAAATAACAGTCAAGTTTATAAAATGGCGATATGACTGTCATGATGGGCAAATTGGGAAGGATATGAAGTAGGTAGAGGGGCACACGGTAATGTAATTGGTTAAGGCACTATGCTACAAGCCGGAAGGTTGCGGGTTTGATCCTGATGAGATCATTGGATTTTTCAATTGACCTAACTGACCAGGAATCTTCCTGGGGTTAAAGGGCGGCCGGCATGTAAGGCTGACAACCTCACCACCATCTATGAGCTGATTGTCCAGAAAATGTGGGAACCTCAACGTGTCACAATCCTATGGACCTCTACGACCTGTAACAGGAATAGCTTTACTTTTTTTTTATGAAGCAAGCAGTCATCTACTTGAAGGTGCCATCCCAGCATTTGCTTGGAAGTACTGAGGAAAATCATGACAAGTCAACTGGCCACTGAATCAAGAATAAGATCAGTAACATCACAAATATGAAGGACAACACAAAATTCTTTGAGCAGTGCACCGAAGCTACACTGTTCATATTAACATTGCAGTCTTTTCCAGTAATGCTCCATATTACATTACAGAGGATTGTCGAGGTATAGAACATCAAGACCAACGAATCAAGGAGCTCTCAACTGTGCAGCGCGTTATCCAGAGTGCAGCACTGGCAGAGGCACCCAACGTCATTTACAAAAGAAGCCTCGAAGAACACCAGAAACGAATTCCCGACTTAGAAGAGAATAGTAGACATAAGTTAATTTATTTATTGTATTTATTAAATTATTTTCAACATTATAAATGGCACTTCAATTAAAATTTCATTCACCCCCCCCCCTTTTTGGTTACAAACCAGACACTTGATTTTCTAATTTTCTTTTCCCCCACCTTCTTCTGGGATGTGATGCTGTGTAGTTCAGTAAACAGGTTTATCATTTGAGAAGCACATGCTACCTCTCTGTCCACCAAAACCCTGAAGATGGAGGCTGTAGTTTTAGCAGAATAATAGTGCCCATCTATCAAACCACATGGCATCCCACACCACCATCATAACTCACTGTTTCTCAAACTTTAATCGCAGGAAATGTTTTTTGGAGTAAATTTTTTTTACAACTGTCCACAACTTACTTTGCTCAAAGGAAGCTATTTTTATCCTTTTCTTACCATATACTTTCCTTGAACTATATTTTTATCTTACGAAAAACACCTATGCAACCTGTCACATGCTTAACAACACCCTGGTGGCCACGACTCACCATATACAAACCATAACCTGAATATTCAACATTGTTAAGAACAATGCAGTATAACTGTACTGCAATTGCAGTATAACACACGCAGTCACAGGAGCAATACACAACACAAAGCACAATACACACACAAAAGTAGAAAGAGTGCTCCGACAGAAGAGGATAGGTGTGACTCGCGTAGTGAGATACGACATAGGGATGNTACATATCCACCTTAGTTGGGCTTAAGTAGTTTGTCAAAGTTGTAGCAATGTAGCCATAACCTCACATGAATATAGGTGAGTAGATAAAAAAGAAACATTAAAATACATGAGAAACTTAAGATTAGAGTCAGATTTGAATCAAGTACTTTCAAAATATTAGTTCAGAGCAATACTGCTTCACAAGTTTCTCAGTTATTTGTCCCTGTGTTTGCAAAAACAATAATGGGATGTAATGGCAATGTTCAAAGGTAAGAAACAAAATACCAAAAATTTGTGTTACTTAACTCAGAGCATGACCCATAAACATAACTCTTTTAGCACTTTCTTACTGATGATTATGACAACACACTAACATACATAGCAGAGTGAGACAGTTCACAGTTACCAGCAAGTAGATTATGGACACCTCACCCTGCATTTCTCTTACATTTAACAATAAGCTCAACAGAATGTTCTCTGCACCTTACAGAACAGGGACCAAAATCTGATGCCATCACTGGAGCACATACACAGTCACATAAATCATCCACAAAAATCTATATCATGCTGGCTGTCAGCTCTACCAGCAAACTTTACTTCACCAAATACTGAACTGTGCCACTTTGTACATCAACACATATCAAGGTCCATCAAGTGCAACAATTTAATGTTTCAGCCTCTAGCAGCCATCTTCAGAAGGTATAGGGGGGAGGGGAAGAAAGGAAAAGAAGAAGAAGAAGAAGAGAAAAACGTATGAGTATGGAGAACAGATGTCATAAACGGATTTTTACCATTACAAATGGAGACCAGCTCAAGATAAGTCATGTTTGTTAAAAAGAAATAGTTTCTATCAGGTAAAATTAACTGTTTAATTTTTTTAATTCGTTTAGTAGGGGGTGGAGTCCAGCTGGGTCCACATGGCACGGCAGCCACTGATTGGCCTACTGTACCTGCCCCAGGTGATTATGATAATGGAGAATTTGGTGGAATGAAGATTGGCAGGGGAAAGCAAAGTACTTGGAGAAAATCCAACTCACCGCCACTTTGTCCACCACAAATCCCACTTCACCTGACCTGGGCCGCTACGGTAGGAAGCCAGCAACTAACCGCTTGAGCTATGGCACGGCCAAGTACACAGAAATAATGATGGACGTAGTCTTCTACTGCTGGTTACGAAGAATGCCATATGTTTGTCTGCAAGTATTATACAGGAATTTGTTCTTTTTCTTTTATCATTATTATTTGGAACCTCATTAAGTGAGAGAAACTACTGATTTGCCATACCTGTGTGATGTGCGTGGTGTGGAGAACTTCTTGGTACTGTGCTGGAGGTGTCATGGTAGACTGATAGTCTATTTGTTTAATGGCATATTCAACTGAAAACATTAAATTTTTAATGTTCCTTAGTGGAGGTGTCCCTATATTATACTAGTATCAATTTCTTTCAAATTTTCGCCTCTTATAAGGATACTTCATACAAAAGGAAAGAGACTACTGGGAAGACCAAAGCGTGGGTGGTTGGGCAATATTAAAATGCATCTTAGAGAGGTAGGATGGCATGGTATGCTTTGGATTGATCTGGCTCAGGAAAGGGACCAGTGGAGGGCTCTTGTGAACAAGGTAATGTACCTTCGGGTTCCATAAAATGCTGGGAAATTCTTGAGTAGCTGCAGAATTGGCGGCTCCTCCAGAAGGGCTCAGCTCCACAAGTGAGTATGTCCTCCTTCATATCTAGCAGTTCTTGGCCACAGATGGCTACTTCAGAGTTTTCCATGATTTTCTTCAATTCTTCCGCTGAAACAATGGCACAGTACTTCTTCTTGTTCTTAGTTTCTGTTGTGATGGTATCACTGGTAGCAGTAGTAGCAGTAAGAATGAGTCCCTTGGTATTGTGGCCTCTAATGGGCATACTGTGCTGGCATCTGATGGATAATCATGGAATATTGGTGGGATGAGATCTGACAGGGAAAAAGCAAAGCACTTTACAGAAACCATTCTAGTATATTTTGTGCAGCAAAAATTCCCATATGGACTATCCTGTTATCATAGCAGCGGCAGTACTCCGATGCGGTTATGTCACAGCTGGCGGGGGAGGGGGTGTCCTGCATAGGGCAAATACATCACACTGCTCCCTCCTTAAGGCTGTTCATCCCAAATAGTCTAACGGTGCATTCCCGTTCCTTTTCTTTGAAGGCTGTTCTCGCAACGTCTTCTTTTCGTCCAGCTACTCCTCTTGCAATGACTATTCTCTTGCTGTTGAATTCAGACCTCTGTGCTGAGAAGCCAACAGCAAACTATTCAGCCTGAGCACAGTATAGGTTGGGGTTCTAAAACTTATATTCTTACGACTAGACCATAACACTTAAATAAATCATATTCAGGGATAAAAAAAAGTACAAAGCAACACAGTGATATGAATACTGTATGCAGATGTGAACAAAGAACAAATAATGTTCAAAAAGCATCAGTGGCAGAAGCGGTGTCAGACAACAGAATTCCACATTTCAAAGGCCTCATCTGCACTCAAAAATAACCAACCCTGTTTCTTTCCAATCTCTCTCAACTGTCAACCATTGCATTATTTCACATTATATAAGTTATATGGTAGATACGTTATCAAATAAAACAAAAACACAATAAACTATGGTGATACTTTGAAGATGAAAAGGAAGTGCTTCAAGCATATTCAATATAGGATTTCGGTTGAAAAGTCAGAATGAAAGAGACCACTAGGAAGACCAAGACACAGGTGGATGGGGTGGTATGGACTGTACAGGGATGAATGGAGAGCTCTTGTTGACACAGTAATGAACCTTCAATTTCCTTAAAAAGTTCAGAACTTCTTGAGTAGCTGCGCAACTACCGGCTCCTCGAGAAGGGTTGATCTCCATGGAGTTTGTTAGTTCAAGCACATTCAGCAAACATCCCTCAATTTTACAAAATCCAGTTTAAGTGTTGTTTCATGATTGTTTTAAAACATCAAAATAATAAAGTTCTTTGTTTTTTGGTAACTGAGCAGTAGCTTTATTGTACATAAGGCTCATTTAAACAAACACCAACCATCTTGAAAAATAATTATGTTCAAATTACATTCCTACAGAAATGACGATTATTTCTCCATACGAAAGTAATTCACAGTATATCAAATGTGAAAGAGACCACAGGGAAGACCAAGGCATAGGTGGGTGAACAATATTAGAATGGATCTTAGAGAGATAGGATGGGATGATATGGATTGGATAGATCTGGCTCAGGATAGGGACCCAGTGGAGAGCTCTTGTGAACACGGTAATGAACCTTCGGGTTCCACAAATTGCTTAGAAATTCTTGAGTAGCTGCAGAATTGGCGGCTCCTCCAGAAGGGCTCAGCTCCATGAGTAAGTAAGTAAATATCACATGTAACAATGTTGGCATCAAACGCTGCAGACATGGCGAGATCCGAGGTTCCTCCTGCAGTAACCACGGAGATCGCTGCCTTCTGGATGTGACACACTGTGGTCTGTACATAGTTACCAACATGTCATAGGAACCAATTATCTTAATCTTCAAGTTAGAAGAGTAAAGCTCTTTAAATAACCAATAGGCTTTATTCTGTTCTACTACCGTCGACCAGTTTACACCCCTCCTCCTATCTGTGTAGCTGCACTGTTCTTTTCATCTGTGCCTTACTCTTCTGCCCCAGAAATGGAGTCCAGAGGTTTCCCTAAAAAACACCAGTTAACTGTCCACTAGACTACATGACGCAACAGCGAAGAAATCTTGATTAGAGACATCGTTTCTTAATTATATACACACGATCCCAATATTTCAGAGTGCTAAATGATTACTTTTCTGTCTTAAATTTAAATACTACTTGCATGTGGAACTTCATATTGCAGAATTATTGAGACCGTACTACTTCAATCATGATGAAAGAATACCAATGTACATTATTATACAAAACTTTAAAATACTTTCACAGTAAAAGAGAAATAAGTATGCGGAGTACTACATCTGGGGTATAATGCCAATTGGTAGAAGTTCACCGATATTTTTAAGGAACATATTGCTTGCATCTTCCTGGTTGAAAAGTAAGCCTAGCAGATGGCCAGCAAGAAACCGGCAGCAAAATCGCTGCTGTGAGAATCTCAAAGGCAACAAGAACTAAGTATGTAAGTTTTGAGAGCAGTAGCTGCTCTCTGCATTCCAAGCCATTCAACTGCTCTGAAGATGGAGGTGATACGTTCCTCCGAAACGTCGGCCAAAACGAAGAATACACGGCTCCTAAACCCAGAAGACGACTTTCTTCAAGAACTAAGTATAATTACTTCTATTTCAGCTTAATCAAAAGCATTATCAAACCAAAAACCTCTGTATCCCAAATCAAAATTCAAAGAAAAGAATAAATATAAAAGTTCCTACCACAATTCTGTCCCCTGGTTTTGGGAAACTGGAGGCAGAAAATGGGAGAAGAGGAATGCAAGACAAATATTACGACTCTCACATATGGAGACGATTCTCTTTAAATTGGTTCCAGTCTTTAGCTACAACAGAATAAATTCAAATGTAATTCAAGTTTTCCTTGGTTTCAATTTACGTTTTGTGACATTAATAATTGGCTCAACCATAACTGCATCCACGGCAGCGTGATCGGATGTTGTATTTATCGCCCTGCTGGTGTTGACACCAGTCGTTAACGAACTGCTGAGGGACTGTACAATCCAGTTAAGAAATGGCAATATTTTCACATGATTAAAATAGATCACCACTGCCATTATTATCAATGGAAGTGCAAAATATGAAGAATGTACTAATTCATGCTCCAGAACCTTTGGTTCTGGTTTGAATGAAAGTTTGACTAGTCTAAATGAAGAGTTGGCTTTAAAATGAACAGCATGAGTTGTATATGAATGAGTAGAATGGGAAAGAGTGGACTCAAGCTGGAGGAAATAGCCTCGTCCATCTGCAGGAAGAGATGGGAAGACGAGCATCGCAGCATTGGTCCCTTTGCTAGATGGAGATTTTCCATTTGGCGAGTCAAGTTTTACTATGTGAACCGGGGAATCTGGAGAATCTTCTCGGCAAAGTTTCGCACGAAGCGTCCGTAAATGTTCCGGGTTTGTGGTTTGTACATGTACTGTGAGATCCATTTGAGTTATTGGATGGAATACAACGAGCCTCAGGTCTGTTACATCACCATCTGCAGCCTGCAAAAAGAAAACAGAAACTATTATTCATAATTAATTTTCTAGTTTGTGTGGTTTAAGATTGGTTGGTTAACAGGATTTAAATCACCTTAACTGTACTCATTATTTAGAACTGTCAAAAAATTATATTATGCAAACCAAAAGTTAAACTATCTTCATCTATTTAATAGTTTCCTCCACATCAAACACAATGGTTACCCACCATGACTTCGCTGTCAGTCCTGTTTGCAGGAACAAGGACAAAACTTTATCATCTGTGCGCTGCAGAACTGTATCAAGACTTGTGTGATGTCATATACACAAATGATAAAAGTTACCAAAGATGTAAGCACGTTATAGGAATAAAGTCTCTACGGATGCTGTGATTTAACCTGGGTTATTTAATGCCTTTTCAACTGAATACATTATATGTATCGAATAAAATTAAGACTGTGTAAAAGGTAAATTGGAAAAGGTGTGGTAAGCCTGTTCTAAGATATTATCAAAGCATTTGTTTAGGAGGATAAACATCAAAAGTAAAACCTGTGGAGTCCTGAGGTTTGTTATAAAAACAAAAGTGTATTGGCCCACAAGCAGAGATCTGGGGAGAGAGGTGAAGACTTCAAAGCAATACTTCCACATACTGCAAAAGTAAGTAAAGCAAATCTATCCCTCTAACAGACTGTGGAGGCCCATAGGGTTGTGAGATGTTGAGGCTCCCACATTTTCTAGACAATCGGCTCACAGATGGCAGTAAGGTTGTCAGCGTTACATGCCAGCAACCCTTTACCCCCAGGAACATTCCAGGTACTCATTTCTGTTAGAGGCTGAGTCGACCCCAGGGCCACAGTGCTGCTGGAAGGATTAGGTCAACTGGAAAAAAAATTCACTTCATTGGGATTTCATCCTGTGACCTTCCGGCTTGTAGCAAAGTGCCTCAACCAACTATGCTGCAGCGTGTCCCTTCCATGTACTGTGGGATGTAAAATTATTATGTTTAGCATTACAACATGAATGTTCATTTTCAAACGCTGATTAGTCAGTCTGGGAGGTGCGGAGAGTGACAAGATTGACATCAGCGAAGAAAACAACAGCACAGACACACAGACCAATTAAATATTCACAGGCAGTAACGGATAAGAGTCGTGGGTAGTCAATGTTTTTAATTCTACTGTACATACTCGGACTCTGCTGTCCACCTCCCCCTTACCCCTTTCCCCTGATGCAGCTCAGGCTTGAAGAGATTTTATATACACTGTACCCCATTCTGCACCCCTTTTACACCCTGAACGCACAACTATGTGGGTTAGGATACTGAAATAGGAGAAAGAAGGGAAGAAGAGGCAGACGAAGCTTCCTCCTGAAGCTTACAGGCTTACATTTTGGAGGACAAAATGTTCAGTGTACACTTTATATGCTGGAACTGTTAACAGCAGTGAAAGGGTTAAAAGCATTCATGTCTTCAGGTTCATACCTTCACAGGGATTCCAACCGGTGTTGACCGCTGAATATGCTGGTTGATCTCCGGCCCTTCCTTTACACGAACAACATAAATGCACTGAAACATACAACAGAAAAATAATGTCACGCATCCTACTTATTTCTTTATATGGATAAGTTTATTCTGTAACGTTATTCCAGCAACACTGCAAGTGAGTGATCAGAATTCTTGCTTTGAACTTGAGAGGTCCCTGACTGACATTATGTCCCAAGGGTCAGCTATTCTGTGGGTGGTTTTCCTCAGCTCTTTCAGGCAAGTGCAAGAACAGTACCTTAAAATATCTCATTGCCATGTCCTTTCATATCCTCAGTCATTCACAAATCATCCAAAGTTCACTCCCAGGTAACTTGCACCAGGTGAGTCACCATTCAGTTTATGGTGTTTGAGAAAACAATCACCGCCTATTCTGAGATTCAAACTAAGCCCAAACATATGTTCTGTCAGCAAAAACTGAACTTTAATGGTTGTTCTACACATAGCTACTATTACATAATAAAAATTTAAAGCCAAGATAGTCCATGAGGTATGACCTTGGTTATGGAGAAATCTGGGTTTATTTCTGGGGGGGGGGACAATATCCATTCCCCAATGTCCAGACTAGCTCTGAAACCCATTCAGCCTCCTCTCCAATGGGCACTGGGGCATCTTTCCCTAGGGTAAAGCATTTGGGACATCACGCCGACTATTCACCCTCATCACCACTTCCCAAGGGGTCTTCATACTATAGCGCTCAATTAAACACAGGAATAATTTCACTTTTATCTATAAAGGACTAATTAGTATAGAGTGGCAACAAAACATAAAAATGATAATCACAATATAATTAAGAGCACAATTAATTTTGGGCACATGTAATGAATAAAATATCTTAACACTCTTAAGACTGAATCCCTTCTATACAATACATAAATACACACTTCGTACCTCACAGGAAACACACTCCATCTCCATAACAAAGCCCAACCTGTTAATGCTGTTTGGGGAAACTGTCGCTGTTTATTGTGAAAACAGTATAAAATGCACAAATACTCTGTAGGCAGAACGCAGAGTTTTATTAATGCATTAAAGCAGATGATACATATAGTGTTAAAGTGTTAAAAGTTTACCAAATGTACCTTTTTGAACAACCACAAATATATTTACCTCCGGATGGAGGCCTCGGATACGAAACTGCCCATTTGACTCAGAGCTGCTTTCTTCCTGGAAGTGGGAACACTTCTCTTGTCCTATGGCCTCTACAACAATACCATCTTCTGGTTCACCATTCAGTGAAGTCACCATCCCATATGTACTATATGCTACTCGATGACCACTGAAACCCACATAACACTGTTGATATCAGAATTTTTATAACACGATGTTTTGTACATAACATTACATCTGCAGTGACAGCCTGGGTGGATCTGCTGTAACATTTCTCATACAAGAAGGAAAGGCTTTAGAATCAGAACACCACAAAATAACAGAATCCACAGATATGTACTTACTTTAACTGCACATTCACAGTAGCTCCCTCTTCCACGGTTATCATTTTAGAATGAGGTTCAAACCGATATTCCTTCATCATAGGCCGCAAGAAATATTCGCTTGGGCTTAAAGAACTGAATGTCATCTTGCCATCTGTTCCTGTCTGACTGTTCCGACGGAAACTTTCACCACCAGACAATGACAACAACACACCCTGGTAAAATAATACATCATTACATAACAGCATTTATTGCAAAGTTACTGTATGCCCGTACTGACACTTGGAGCAGAAACACTGACAAGGAACAAGACAGATATTCGGAGGCTAAAATGTGCTGAGATGAGATGTTTTGGAAGTGCAGAAGGAAAGCCAAGAACAGAAGAAAATGTCCAACAACAACTTTTCATGGAGAACTTCTCTTTGTATTGTTTTGGTAATGCAGTAGCGTAGTTAGTTGAGGGGCTATGCTACAAGCTGGAAGGTCGCAGGTTCAAGTCCCGATGAGGTCATTGGATTTTTTCATTTGACCTAATCCTTCCAGCCGCACTATGACCCTGGGGCTGACTCAGACTCTAACAGAAATGAGTACCAGGAATTAATTAAATAATTTTCCTGGGGAGTAAAGCACAGCCGGTGCATAAGGCTGACAACCTTACCGTCATCTTTGAGCCGAATGTCTAGATAATGTGGGACCCTCAACGTCTCACAACCCTATGGGCCTTCACGGCCTGTTACAGGGATAGCTTTACTTTTTACTTACTTAAAATTTTTTAAAAATCTTCATTTAAATATCTGATGTATATTTAGTATTATGTTACATCTGACCCATTTTTAATTATCAAAAATTGTTTATATAGTACTAGCATTGTAGTTTATATGATAGGAGGAAGTAAATAGGCCATAAATGAATACAAAACGTAAAACATGCGATATTCAAACCCAGAAAAAAGAAATTACTTCTAAACATATCTTCCACCAACACTGATACACTTGTTCCACCGCTTTACCAGCGACTGAAAACCTGCAGCACAGAAGTCTTTTGACTGTTATCTCAGCCATTTCCATACCTCCATTTCAACCTCTGTCATCAGCGAAATGTTTGCCACCCAGTTGTGAACATCTTCACATGACAAATCCCACCATAAACAGGAAACACTTCTTTATGAACATCCTTTGCATTGAGTCCTTTTGCCCAAAAAAGAATGCACAACAGAAAACTGCTCTTCAGTAGTACTCAAGCAGAGTTGCCATTTTGACTACAGAAACCAGCCTCTGAAGATACACATGCATATCTGCTACCTAAACTGTCATGAAGCTGTACTGTGCTGCTACATAGAAAACATATTACGTCCATTACAGCTGTTTTACTTCCATCTGTGACCTGTTTACTGACTCTCCCTCTTATGCAGTCCATCACAATCTGTGTATTTCTCAACAAATCAACTGATGATGGCCTATCTGGCTCTAAAATATTGTGAAACGATGAATTAAAAAAAATCTGTTTGTGTGACAGGAACCTCTCAATTTTTATTTATAAGTAGAGAGGGAATAAGAAATGAAAGGAATGGAGAGATTTTAAATGATACTTAGCAATATAAGTTAATGATTAACATAATAAGATGGTATAGGCATGTTCCAAAAACAAAGATAAAACCACAGAAAAGGTTTTGAACATGAAACTAAAAGAAAAAAGGCTATAGGGAAAGCAAAGATCAAGATGGAAGTCACAGGTTAAGAAAGTACATAGGAAAAAAGTGAGGAGGAAAAGCTTTGGGAAAGCTGAGGTACATGGTGAGGCTTGGTTGCTAGATTATACATAAAAAAAAAACTCCGTGGTTTTAGTCCGCAAGTGAGCTATACCGACCGAGCGAAAGGCCACTTGGCGGCGAAATTAATGCCAACTTTAGCAGATAGAGGGTGTCACATGGTCAGCGCAATGGATCCCCAAGGCCGTTAATCTCGGTTTTCAAGACTGGAGCTACTATTTCCTTGAAATATCTCCTCAATTATCCTAACGAGGCTGAGTGGACCCTGTTTCAGACCCACTATTTCTGAGAAAATTTGGTAGCGCCAGGAATTGAAATTGGACCTCTGGATCTATAGTCAGGAACTCTGACCACTAGACCACAGAGGCGGTAGATTATACATATAAAAGTGGACATGTGGAATGAATAACAAGAAGTAATACAGTACCTCTGTCTTTTAAAACAATTTTGAGTCAAATGTAGAAAAACTGTTAGGAACAAGGACAGAGGAAACAGTGATATGAACACAGAATTCCATCACCCTTAATAAGAAAATATATAGTCACACATGTGTGATTTTAAGAGGCTCCACATTTTAATGTGGTAACCAAAACTGAACATAACAACTGTTTTTTTTCTTAATGCTAGACAGAAAACATGGCTTCCCCAGAATTACGCAAAGGAAGCCAATGAATATGATATGCACTGGATGACCAACTGGTGACAGTAAAAATAATGTTATTAATGGAGACCAGGTCCTGTGTGGTACCACAGGTGAATGAAGCATAACTTGGGACAGCATATTTAACAAACACTTCTCTTATTTTTGTTAAATGAAAATTAATTTCTGTTGCCCTTTCATTCATACGGTGACTATTAGCCATCAGTCATCTAAATTTGTAATGAAATAATGTAAATATAACTGTAAATTGCATGCACTGGAAATGCTGCCTAATTTTGTATCCGCAACTTGGAAGTAATGCTTTTCTCTTATTGCTAGTAGGGTGGGACTAAGTCCCTTGTACTGCGGCCACTTCTGGCCTATTGTACCACGAGTTGGAAGTAACTTTGTCCCTAATGCAAAATGATAATGACATATTTTTGCTGCTGTTCATTTGACTATGGTTTTAAGCATTACAACACCAATGGCACTTTGGGAAAGTCATTAATTATGACAAAGTTTTGTAGATGAAGATGATATTGTTTTAACTTGAGAGGAGAGGAAGTCATCACTGCCTTGGTGATGTTTAGTCTGCGCCGGCCCTGACGGGGATATCCCTTTTCTTGGGCGAAACAAATACAATTGTCTGTGTCTAAAAAATGACAAACGTGTTAGTAGAAAAACTGATTAAAAATCAGTTAAATACAATTCAGGTAACTTACTTGCAATGGTTTTCCATCGGCTTTATCTAGAACTTCAACAATTACTTCAGCTAACTTGTGAGCATTGAAATTCCCCTTTGCATCTGGTCCTGTTAGAACAAAGCCTTCTTTCTCTGCTTTCACCCTGAAAGCAATCCCACAGTAAGACCAATGTAGTAAGATAAGAAACATTTGTGTAGCCTAACCATTCTCATGCATTTGTTCCCTTTTCTTTAATTACCTCAAAAACTGCAAGAGTAACAGAAAAAGTATACTGGCCACAAAATGTGTGATTCATTTTTCTCTCTACCTTTGATCCAACAAATATTTAGGAAGTTATGCTTGAGATATGTGTGCAAATGCATTTTGGTTATCTAATACAGCATGCGACCCATATCTCGAATCCCAAAATCTGGAAGGTTTTTCTCTGCTTAAATGCATGAAATGATTAACTTCACAAGCTATGTTTAAAAAAAATTATGAATGTTCGGCAGACAAAAGTGACAATTCTGGCTCTCAACTTCAAACATTTTTTAGGTAAAGCAAATATTAAAAAAAAAACGTTTCTAACTGCCAAATTTACATATTATAATTTCTTTGGCAAGAAGAAAAGGGTAAAGCTATCCTTGTAACAGGCCGTGAGGGCCAATAGGGTTGTGAGACGTTGAGGCTCCCACATTTTCTAGACAATCAATTCATAGATTACAGTGAGGTTGTTGGCCTTATGTGCTGGCTGCCCTTTACCCCCAAGAAGATCCCTAGTAGTCGTTTCTGTTAGAGGCTGAGTCGACCCCAGGGCCATAGTGCGGCTGGAAGGATTAGGTCAATTGAAAAATACAATGAACTCATCAGGATTCAAACCCAGGACCTTATGGCTTGTAGCACAGTGCCTTAACCAACTGTGCTACCGCACGTTCCCAAAATCCAGAAAACCTTTGGCCCCAAGTTTTCCAGATAATGTATACTGTATACACTGTATTTATAATGGTATAGCATCCAATATAAATATACGCATGTTGTTTTAAATTTACTCTTTCTTGTCCCTGTTTAAGCTACTGAAATAATTTAAGTTCTCTGGAAAGCAGTGGCAAAAAGAGGAAGAGCAGAAAGGGCATTAGAGGAGACGCATATCGAGATGTGTCAACAATTTCAGGACTATTTTTTTTTCTTTTTTAAATTCCCTAGTGGGAGGTGGAGTCCAACTGGGTCCACTCGGCATGGTGGCCACCGATTGGTCTATTGTACCTGTCCTGGGTGATTATGATGGAGAATTTGGTGGAATGAAGATTGGCAGGGGAAACTGAAGTACTCGGAGGAAACCTGCCCCAGCGCCACTTTGTCCAGAACAAATCCCACTTGACCAGACCCGGAATCGAACCCAGGCCACCGCAGTGGGAAGCCAGTGACTAACCGCTTGAGCTATGGCGTGGCCATTTCAGGACTAACTTCAAACTGCATCAAAAAGCATCGCAATAAATAATTCTGAGTTCATTTCAAAGTAAAATTCCTTTCCTGTGAATGATGCATGATTTATTTATTACCTGTAATCCACTCCCCCTTGCAAAGGGCCAATCTTGAACTTGCCATCTTCAGCAGTTTCAGTCACAACTACAACCTCACTGCTGGATCCCTTAGTGATGGTGACCTTAATTCCAGCAGATGGTGGAATGACTTGACCTTCCACAAGATGTCCTTTTTCTGCGTGCAATTCCACAGCTGTGCTGACACAATTATTTGCACCAACTAACACGCTTCGTGGAGGACTGAAAAGAAGTGTCCCCGCTGTGGGCTCCAGCACCAATTTCTCACCCTCAGCAGCCATGAGTTTAAAGTTGTATTCCAGCATCCCACCAGAACTTGGCTTTGGACTTAAGGGCCCCAGCCTATGAGAAGCATGAGAGACAATCAGATTTGGCTATATATGAATGAAAACAAAGTACACTTAATACCTCATGGCAGGGGCATTAATACATACATTTACATGACCTACACCCAACTCTGCTGGTTAGGGGAAAGTGCAGTTCTGCACACTGTTGCAGGTCCCTATCAGACTGTACAGTGACAGCAGGAACCTAAATAGCTTTACAGCCTCTCTACACCTACAGTAAGCTATAAAATGTTCCTGTACAGTCACAAAAAGTGCAGTTCTGTGCATTGCTGCAGGTCCCTATCAGACTGTACAGTGACAGCAGGAACCTAAATAGCTTTACAGCCTCTCTACACCTACAGTAAGCTATAAAATGTTCCAATAAAACTTGCGACAGAGAGATTTGGATGTGTTTGGAGGAAATATCAGAGTGCACGTTGGCATCCACAGATTAGAGTACGTCTGGCAGAATGCATATGATCAAATTTTGCACATTTAGTATATAACCGTTCATGTTTGTTTTGTGTGTATTATCAAATCCACAATGAACAAGTATTTACTGCATATCCTGTCTTACCACCAAAACACAGGACAAAATCATAATATTAAGCTGGATAACAGACTCAGAAGACACATGACAATGTTAAAGTATTTGAGAATGACAGTAATTATTCAAATTAGATTCAAAGAGAAGTTAAAATCAGATTCCCACTGGGGAATGATTGCCATCTCTGCAAGCAGAATCTACAACAATCTTTTTGTGAAGAATGTAAAACAATATGGTGACTTAATTATTGCATAATATTACAATTTTACCCACAATCAGTCACAGCCCTCAATAAAATAAAGGTAAAGCCACCGCTGTAAAAGGCTGTGGAGGCCCATAGGGTTGTAAGATGTCGAGACTCCCACATTTTCACTAGACAGTTGGCTCACAGATGACGGTGAGGTTGTCATTCTAATGCACCGGCCACCCATTACGCCCCAAGATTGCTGGTACTCATTTCTGCTAGAGGCCGAATTGACCCCAGGACCACAGCTCAGCTAGAAGGGTCAGGTCAATTGAAAAATCCAATGATCTCATCAGGAATGAAACCCACAACCTTCGAACCTGTAGCATAGTGCCTCAGCCCACGACACTACTGCATACCACCTCACAGCCCTCAACAGTCTGATAAATTTATAACTTTATTTAATTTTACATCGAGTGAAATTATGGAATTAAATCACAGCTGCAAGCACAGCTCTTCCACTTCTTGTCATACTCCTCGCTTCTTCTCATGCACAACACAGAGACCATCCCTAAAAATGTAGGTAATTCAGAAATGTGTAACATACTCTCACCTTGCCTTTAATTTGCCATCTTCGCCTGACAGAACATTAATAAACACATCCTTCACGTTCTCAGTTGTAAGGACTCTTCCGCCCAGGGTATGTGCAACGGCTGTGAGACGAACCGAGGAAGTCGCTGCAGTCGCAGAATTCCATTTCACAGATGGCTGTGCATAGCCATGGCATCCAATTGGCACAAATTCATAGGTCCCAGCCTCAGACACACATGACTTCATCGTTCCTCTCTTCACGTTTAAACTACCAGTGGTAGCAGGTGAGTTGCCAGGGGTTTGCAATTTATATTGCACCTGAAAGCCATCATAATATTTTGCAAATATGTTTTCTTTTTTTGACAGCCTGGAACAGGTGTCAAAGTAGTGACTAGGCTACAGGTTGGATGATCGAGGAGTCAGGGTTCGATTTCTGGCAGCTACAAGAGATTTTTCACTTCTCCATAGCATTGACACCTGCCCTGGGAGCCACCTGGCCACCTATACAACGGGTACTATGGGCTCTTTTCCAAAAAGTAAAGTGGCAGGGGCAAGAAGCTAACCACCATCTTCACCAAGTGCTCAGATTATGAATGGTGGAGCTATACCTCCATTCCTCCATAGTTTTTCATGGCATAATGCTTAACTAATTAAGCCCAGGGGAAACTTTGTCTTTAACCTTAAGTCTAGACATTTCTAACAATGGCATATAACAAAAAGCATTCCTACTATTTTGATCAACGTGCATTGTCTTGAGATTTCATACATGATGTTTCTGAAACAGCATCTGTTTCCACCATATGGTATATGGAAGGAAATATCCCTGGTAAGTCTCAGTCAATTGACAGGAAAACTCACGACAATGCCCCTTGTCCAAAACCAAAGCCATGTTTAGTGTTCTTTGAAAATTCAGGAAATATCTGCCTACCATTCAATCCAGAATCTCTCGTCTTCCCATCTCCTGTCTAAGAATCTAAGGATAATTCCACTTGCCGTGTCTTGTGTGTGCAAAACATAGTCTCTCAACCTATGTATACAGGCTAATGGCAAATACTTTTCTATGGGAATCTGGTATGTCGATTTGCAGCAATTGACCAGTGTCTGTCTCCATCAATAGGGGTTATGTGTTTACCCAAGCTATCCCTGTAACAGGCAGTGGAGGCCCATAGGGTTGTGAGATGTTGAGGCTCCACAGATTGCAGTAAGGTTGTCAGCCTTGCATGCCAGCCACCATTTACTGCCATGTGGTTACTTCAAAATGTTGGTACCTACATACCAGACTACATAGCATCACACCTCAGAAGGCCATACTTTTAATCTGACATGTGTTGTCAGCATTGTTACCAAAGTAAACAGCCCAACATTTAAGGGAACCTCCCCACCATAAGCAACAAGACAACATGGCATCGCATCCCAGAAGACGGTGGAATTCAATGCTTTGTTTAGCTCTAAATGTGTGAGCTTCTTAAAGATACGGGAGCACATTTTACCTGGGTGTCATGGCTTGACATGAAGGTCACAGTGTAGCCAACTTGTCTAAATGGAGGGACTGTAGACACTGCTGTACCAACTGAAACAGTCTGAGCAGATGACTCCCAGCACCACTCATCCTTATGTACAGAGACCTGATACCTTCCTGGCAAGATGTCCTCAAACGTATAGCTTCCTCCTGAGGAAGAAGACAATAGAATGACATATACACATGGAGGAGGCTGTGAGGAGCTCATTGTTGCTTAGGTTTTGATTCAGATGAACCACCGCCAACAGACTGCTTATAATTAAGGGAGTCACGATAGGTCAGTTGAAATAGCAACGGGTTGGAGGACCACCCCTTGTTGGCTATCCCCAACTGCTTATTGCTGAGGACACAACATGCTGCGGTGACAAGGGACCCACCTAAAATGGAATGATAGAATAATCAATGAATAATAAACTGGAAAGATGTGGAAGGAAGTCAGGATAGACCGTGTCCTGGATGAGATTTGAACCAAGCACCTCCCAAATATAAGTCTGGGGGGGTTACTATTACGCCAGCTTATTATACTGACCCAACGATACTCCCAACCAGTACTATACAACTTATACCCCTAAGACAGAAATAATTAATAAATTAAAATATAAAGTTCATAATAATAATTTTATGAAATAATAAAACTTGCCTGGAACATCTGCCAAAGTAACATAGCAACAAATTACATCAAAAAGCATGAATAACTGTGGAGATAAAACATAGGAGACTGAAAGATATAACATGACACCCCTATTACACACCATTTCAAATGATTTGTGCAAAAGAATCAATTAATAAAAAACTCCTTGACCTGTAGTCTACAAGCAAACCATACTGACCACCACTTGTCGGCAAAGTTAGTGCCAACTTTAGTGTGTAGAGGGTGGTGCATGGTCAGCACAATGAAACCCCACGGCCATTAATTTCAGTTTTCTAGACCGGAGCCATTATTTCATTGAAATAATTCCTCAATTATCCTCACGAGGCTGAGTAAACCCTGTTCCACAACCACTACTTTTCAGAAAATCTGATAGCGCCAGGAATCAAACCTGGACCTCTGGATCTGTAGTGAGGAACTCTGACCACTAGACCACAAAGGAAGCAACCAATTGTTTGCAATTGCAGAAAACCCACATGAACAAATAATCACAATATTATGCTAACACCTCAAAAGATGCTGAAAGTTAAAAAGTTTGGGGGTCATTACTCAAAGATTGGACTGACTGTGACGCAGAATTGTGTGTTTTACCTTTTGAAATCGTGGTGGTCACAGGACGGGCTTCATTGTTGTTGCCTAGAAGGGCCTGCAGGTGGACGGGAATCTCATCACAGTTACCATCTCCAGCCAAACAAGATATATGCCCTGCAAGTTTCACTTTCAGCTGAGCGAATTCAATGCCAGATAATATGGGACTATCCACCACTTCTATCACATGTACAGCTGGGAAAAACCTATCAAAGATAACAAACAGCTTTACAGTAAGACTGTATTAAGAATAAGAGTACAGCTGTATCTCGGACTTACACTTAATGTATTCCTGAAAACAAGTTAAGTAAAACAATGTTAAATTGAGTTCATTATAACATTTGATGCATAGGATTACATCCGTGGAGCCACAAATCAGACCCAATTTTCCCAATATTTTAACCCCTATTATGGTATAATCTTTTTTCATAGTAAGTTAATAAATGGACATAAAAAATATAGCATCAAACATTTAAAATATTAAAAATAGGTCAATCACAATGCCCCTTCCATGGCATTTAATCATATAATGCTTCACTTCCAATATAAAGCCCAGCATTTTCAAGCACAAGCTGCATTACAATGACCACTTTTCCTTTTTACACATTTTTAAACAAAAATGGGAAAAATACAGAACATTAGCTACCAAATGTTAAAAAATCATTTGAACAGTCTCTAGACAGCACAATGAATGTAATATAAGTGACTGCTGGATGCCAAGGGACACTCCAACCCATGCTGACTCAATGGTTAACAACTAACTCAAAAGCATAATGTGGCATGCCAATAAGGTGCGGGGAAAATTTAAGTTTTGAGTCACAAGTCTTAAAATTTGGAATTCAAGTCTAATCAGCATGACTGTACATCAGGAAGTTAAAGGTCCAGGTATGAATGTACTGTGTTGTATACAATTTCAAGTATCCTAATTTCTGTACTTAAATGAATGAAGATTTAACATCTATCAACTGTGAGTTTCAACACTTCAGCGGCATGTGTGCATCGTCTAGTTGACCAAGCATTGCATTTTTTCTATATTAAATACTTTCTTCTTCAGCTCGCCCCCACTTTGGAGCATAGGGATGATTTCTCAGTTTCATTGATCATTTTTGCAGATGGTAGGACTCATTAAACTTGATCAGCTCATCACAAGGCTGCTACCTAACCACAGGACAACACAAACATATACACACACCAAACATCCATACCTTGTGTGGGATTCGAACCCACGATCCTGGTTTCTGAGCGAGCGAAGACAGTTCATGCCTTAGGCCGCTCAGCTACAATGACCGGCATATTGAATACTACTGCCACAATATTAAACATGGCTGTCAACACAAGACAACTGAGAGATCTAAAATTCCCTATTCTGGGATGACAAACTGAATACTGGAAAAGAAATACAGATCTCTGGCAAAAATTGACAGTTCCTACATCACAGCGCCATTTTACTGATACTAAACTTTACAGCAAAACAACGTGCATAGATGGTGATGCTACAAAGAGGAAATTGTTCTGGCAAAGACAAACACTGTAATACCAACTCAACACATTACTCTCCTGCCACCCTCTGCTCCAATTCATAACCATTTGCGAACATATATAACGATAGAAGAACAATACTTTATACTGCAGCACACAGACCGACTACTAAGTAAACAATGGCCATTGCATGGTAATGGCTGCAACAGATTCCCAACATGAACCAAGGGATTAACTAGGAAGTGGTGCTCTCTACACGATCCACGTGACAGTTACATGACACAACAATAGAAGAGCTGCTGGAAGAGATGTTTTCTTGGCAGTCCTTGTTGAGGTGTTAGAAACAAGACAAGTATAGAGTTTAGTCAGTTGTGAGAGTCACTGGCTAGTAAGGGCGTGAACACAGAAGCTAAGGAAGCTACGGCATTGGACGTCGTTAACCCAGTGACAACCAGTGAAGATGCAGCAGACTGAAAAGACTTAATGTGTGTGCTGCAGTGAATTGTAGTGTGTGTGAATTAGCACTAGTGCTACAGCTACTTGTAGTTACATTCTGTAAGTGATCAGTAAATCCAATTACCAATCCAAACCCTGTCTATAGTCACTTTATCACATGATAATATGTAATGATTATCCTTGACTATAACAGCCCAAATCTCAGACATAACACAAAAATTACACAATTCTGCTCCAAGTCCTTCAATTTCAACTGTTTCATTTTCTTTTGTTGTTCATTTCTGCCAATTAATTCTTGTGGCCAAAGGGTTTTCCTTTCAGGAATGTTTGGGAAATACTGTGCAATGTGATACTGTTAAGCAACTTACTGTAAACCCCTCATCTTCTCATCTTCTGAAACTTTCACTCTTCCCTCATATTTTCCTGGCTCCAAGAATACACAAAATTCACCAGTTTCTGCCCGTGCTTCTGCAATTATTGGTTCAGTAGAACCTCCCTCCTTTGAGAGTACAACAGAGCTCAGTCCATTTTCAGTAGATCCCGATATCAGTTTATAGGGTGATACGACGCCACACACTTTGAATGACGAGGGAAATATATCCGTAAGCTGAGGGGTGTTCGGCGTTATCTTCACGTTCATTTCAGGGAATTTCATGTCATCTATGAAAAGAAAACACATCATAAACATATGTGTCATACGAGGTTCTCCTCACAGCAGTGGATATCATGATTATGGTCTTCTGGGATGATACATCATGTGAGAGTCGCAGAGAACAAAGTGACACTGGAACGGGGCTCTCCTCCAACTTTCTTCAAATTTCCCCTGCTAATCATCATTCCTCCACTGATCTGTATACCCCCCCCCCCAAGATGTCTGACAGCACTGATGAGGCAGCATATCGTCTGATTCTCAATTCTTAACTTTGAGATTTCATCTGTCACCTCACATTTGACTCGTTACAGAGTAAGGAACTTAATTAAGGAACCAAGTGTGGAAGAGAATGAAATAAAAAGTAAGTAGTAAAAGTATCCCTGTAACAGGCTGTGGAGGCCCATAGGTTTGTGAGATGTTGAGGTCCCACATTTTCTACACAACTGGCTCATATGTGGCGGTAAGGTTGTCAGCCTTATGTACCGGCCACCCTTTACCCCCAAGAATATTCCTGGTACTCATTTCTGTTAGAGGCTCAGTCGACCCCAGGGCCATAGTGCAGCTGGAAGGATTAGGTCAATTGAAAAAATACACCTCTTTGGAATTCGATCCCATGACCTTCTGGCTTGTACCATATTGCCTCAACCAACTACACTACTGTGTGCCCCATTAAATGTTAAAATGATTACATATATGATTCCTGCAACAAAATAATATCATCACTGCTTCAGAACATCTAGAACCTGTTACAAGTTACCCACGGGCTTGTACTTGCAGTACGTATGAACCAGCCTGCAGGTTCTCCAAGTGATAGCTTCCATCAGCTCTGGTCACACTGCTCGTCTTTCCATTGAGCAAAACAACAGCTCCAACAATTCCCTTCCCACCTGTTCGCAACAACACTCGTCCACTCACACTGAAGCCCTTCACCTGCAGAAGACAAAAGAAACTGTCTTTATAATATCGTAAGGTGAAAGCTAAAAGCCACAACAGTGGAACAAGAAGAGGTGGCCACTGCTAGGCAATACAGCCATGCTGTGTGGTGTGTGCCAAGGCTATATAAGAGGACCAACAGGAAAACTCAGTCAAGGAGAACTGCAAAGGAGCTCCTAAGGGATCCTCTGGGAGGACATCCTTCTCTAAGTTCATCTCACCAGAGAGGTCCTTGGCAGCTGCAATGCTTCAAGACACTCAACACCAGCAGCCACAGACATCACAGACAAATGGAAAATCATGCAGTACCGCATGCAGCAACCTCTACCACAAGATGATATTCTGAAAACAGGTCTGTCAGTACAGGCTCCCAGTCCATCTAAAAATGACATGTTAAAACTGGGCAACTGTAGTGAAACAGATCATACAGAGCTCAACAAAGCTGTGTCAGAAAAATTCAAATTAATTGTCATCTTGTTTCTATTTAAAACATACATTTTCGACACTGGATTCTGTCTCCATCCTCAGGTACAAAACCTAGTTTGGCCCAATCAATACTGCTACTCCTTCTCTCCAGACCTCTGGAGGCTAGCTCTATTGATTGGGCCCAACTGAGTAGCTGCTTTACTTAAAGACAGAGACAGAATCCAGTCTCTGAAACATTGGGTTTTAAATAAGAAACTGAACACTGGATTATGTCCAAAAACATAACTGTATCAATATACCATCATCACCAGCTTTAAGAGCTTATTCAATGTTCTGCATATTTTAATTTTCTATATCCTCAGAAAAATATACAGATAACAAAAGCAATAACATATGTACTTACCTTGAACTCAGTATCAATTTTAAAACTCCCATGTTCAACTGTGAAATGAATTTCAACAGGTCTCACATCAAATTTGATGCCATGGGGCCCTTCATAATGTGGGACTACTTTATATGAGCCTGGTGGTATTGAAGGGAATGTAAACTGGCCCTTTTCATCTGAGATGACATGGCACAAGGGTGATGATCCACTTATCTTGAAGCCTTTAAGTGGATTCTTCTCACAGCCCTGGATCTCAGCCAGTGGAGGGGACTGAAACATAATTCAAAGAAGAGTGAAACTTATAAATCAAAACAAACATATTCCAGCCCACTGGTGATGTAGTTATAACTGGTGGGCCAGATACTGCCCATTAAAAGCTCTTCAGAGGCTTCTAATGTACATAACAAGAGATCAAGGTTTATTAAATATGTGCACATTGGGCAAAAGAGGATGCATACAGGAACACTCCTATGTGTTCACTGATCTGCAAGTTTTAATTGTATGACAGCTAGATGGATACTAAAGCACAATAGATCATTGAATCATTGAAGGTCGCAGTGTGGGGGCCACATTTTATGGCCCACCCCTTAAATACACCCATAGATGAATACTTAAAAAATCTGTTTTGAATATTACACTAATACAGGGAGTGGGGAGGTAAACTTGTCCTTGTGCTTAATTAATTATGCACTATTCTATGAAGACATATATGTATATACACATGGAGCTATAGCTCCACCGTTCTTGAACTCAGCACTTGACAAAGGCAAACGGTCAGCTTCGTGCTCCTTTCACTTAACCCTTGTGTACCAATTAGACAGGAGGCTGGGTGCGCTCCAAAGCCAGTCTGGATGCTATGGTAAAGCTATCCCTGTAACAAGCTATGAAGGCCCATAGGGTTGTGGGACGTCGAGGCTCAAACATCATCTAGACAATCGGCCCACAGACGGTGGTCAGGTTGTCAGTCTTACACGCCAGCCGCCTTTTACCCCACTGGAAGATTCCTGGTACTCATTTTGGTTAGAGGCTGAGTCAACCCCAGGGCCATAGTACAGCTGGAAGGATTAGGTAAATTGAAAAAAAAAATCCACCTCATGGGGACTGGAACCCACAGCCTTCTGGCTTGTACCACACTGCCTCAACCAACTATGCCACAGCATGCCCCAGTCTGGATGTTATGAAGAAAACAAAAATCTCTTCCCCCTGCCATTGATTGAACCCCAGCCATCCAGCCTGTAGCCTGTCACTATACTAACTGAGCTAACCCAAGTCAATATGCCATAAGTGAACTATCAAAAGTCATACTTTTTAATTTCCTTAAACCAGTAATAAAAACATGGCAGATGCACAAATCTGTGAGTTGGGAATGATACTATTGTAACTACTGAAACCAAAATGCGACATCATTAAAAGTAATGACAAACATAGTAGCTACTGTCAAGATACCATAGCAATAGCTGAAACTGTAACAAAGGTAATAACAGATACCTACTTACTTACTTACTTACTCATGGAGCTGAGCCCTTCTGGAGGAGCTGCCAATTCTGCAGCTACTCAAGAATTTCCCAGAATTTTATGGAACCCAAAGGTTCATTACCGTGTTCATGAGAGCCCTCCACTGGTCCCTATCCTGAGCCAGATCTATCCAATCAATACCATCCCATCCTATCTCTCTAAGATCCATTCTAATATTGTCAACCCACCTACGCCTTGGTCTTCTCTGTGGTTTCTTTCCATCTGGCTTTCCCACCAATATCCTATACAAATCTGTCTCTCCCATTTGTGCTACATGCCCTGCCCATCTCACTCGATCATTCTAATTATACTTGGAGAAGAGTACAAGTTATGAAACTCCTCATTAAAAACAGATACATTAAGAGAAATTTTAGAACTTTAGGAAATGTACATACACTCAAATGCGAATTCTGAATGCCAAGATGAAAGCAACACACTTACACTCAAATACAAATTCCAACTTTCCAGTCTTGTTGTTCTAAGTCAAAAGCAAGGAAACTGTTGCTTTACATACCTCTTCAGCTTGAAATAAAACAAAACTGACTCCTCTGATGGGTTCGTTATCACTGGTAACCAAACCAGAAACATCGTAACCTGCAACAACCAGACTGCTAGAAGGAATATTGGCTCTTTCCTTCATAAGCTGAATCACCACTGAATTATTGCTGAGTTTCCAAGTAGGATGAGATGCTTTGATGAAGTATTTCCCAGGCAGTACAGGTGTGAAGTGAAAGTCACCATTTTCTGATGTCAAAGTATCTTGTATTGGGGAAAACTCCCGTTGACCATCAGGAAATAGGGTAACTTTCACCCCTTTTGGTCCAACCTGACGTCCAGAGCTGACAACCTGAAAATATTTCATTTCTTGGTAACTTAAAAAAAATGTTCATTTGTGCTGATCAATACTAAAGCTACCCAATCAAAGCAGTCGAGCAACCAATACACATTTTTAACTGAATAATTAATATTTATAATTAAATGATCGAATGATTAAACCCTGTTTCAGTTGAACACTTCAAAGCATTAACTACTTAAAAATAATTTCAATTCCTACCTATTCATCTCAATCATTTATACATACTAACCAATTAATCCTGTTTATAAAATCATTGCTGTTTATTTTGAGTAAGGTAAAAAGGTAAAGTTGTTCCTGTGCTTAATTAATTAAGCACACACCATGAAGACATAAACCAGTGGAGATACAACTCCACAATTTTTGATCTCACAGCTAGAGGGAGGTTAGTAGTCAGCTTCATGCTCCAGCCACTTTACCTCATGGGAAAAACCCCAGTATCCACTGGACACAGGCTGGGTGGGCCCCACTGCTGTTCTAGACACTGTGGGGTAAAGAAAAATATCCAGCCCCTGCCAGAAATCGAATCCTGGCTGTCCAGCCCATATCCTGTTGCTATACTGACTGAGGTATCATGCCTTGCTTATTCTGGGAATGATACAGAACTCATAAGTATGCTCTGTGAGCAACTGTGGAGCTTTATTAATGTTAAAGCAGCGGTTCTCAACCTTTGTGAGACCGTTGACTAGTAAATTCTTTTTTTATATGGTGAGGGCCCGGTATAATTGATGCCAGGGCCTGGCAATCAGCTCACAGATGGTGGTGACGTTGTCAACCTTACATGCCGGTTGCTCTTAACCCCCAAGAATATTCTTGTTAGAGGCTGAGTAGACTCCAGGACCATAGTACGGCTGGAAGGATTAGGTCAATTGAAATATCCAATGACCTCACCAAAAATCGAACCTGTGATCTTCTGGCTTGTAGCATAGTGCCTCAACCATCTACGCTACCGCCTGTCCCAAATAAAATGATGACACTCTTATGATCTGTATTAGGAAAATTCCACCATGGACAAAGCAGACATTAATAGTGTGATGTGGATGGTGCGATGGGAAGTAGGGGTCACGTGAACTCTGCGGTCTCACGAGTGACATCACATACCACCACTCCTTCCATCAGTACGCAACGCTAGGTAAAGACCACCTCCTCTGCGGTGACGTAACAGAAGAGCAACTGTGTCAGGATACCATTGCCGCGGTGATGTAACAGCACTTCCCACAGTGACATAACAAGGGATACCTCAGTTACTACACAGCAGTAAACAACTCTCGACAGCGTTGCCCACAAACGCCTGTAAACACGGTGATTATGCAACAGGGAAGCGAGGCGCGTTTTCCATTGTCTGGCTGAGGGTTTATAAGAGAACTGCACTGCCTAAGGAGTCAGTTAAAATGTAGCAAGTGAATCGTGAACGTGAAGAAAACCGTAACGTGTAATTAGAGGCAATACTGTGAGAAGTTATTGGGAGTGTGTAATACAGTGACACTGGTATAGCTCCCATATCGTACTGTGAATAAGTGAAGGCCATTGAAGATAGAGTGAACAGATTATTGTGTGGGGTTTGTAAATTGTCTAACCCACAACAGTGTTATAATTTGTAGTTACGACTTATAGGTTGTTAAATAAACCAATTAACAATATGAAGGGCGTCTTCAGTAGCAAAATACGTTACAATATTAAAGTCCTTCTTGGCCATAAAAACTTTCCATTTTTACATTCTCCTAGATTCTGGTGTGTGCTACAACTCTAATGTGACTAATTATCATTAGACGGCAAAGATAACTAAGTAGAGAACTATGTATACTTATCGCGGAGCTACAAAACTAATCGTGCTTACTCTTCCGGTAATAGCAAAGCCTTTAAACACAAAGTTAATATCTTTTCCTTGGCTGCACTGATCTGTTCTGCCATCAACATTTAAGATCACTTCTTTTGGTTCAAAACTCCATCCTGCTGGTGGCTCAATCTGGAAAACAAATCAGTGTCCCTGTGAGTAACACTACCTGCACGTACCATTTTTGTTTAAACAGAACACAGACACAAGATACCAGTGTTGGCTCTCACAGCAGTGACTATGAAGAACACAGCCTTTTTGTGTGCAATGTCCTGTAGTCTAGTAGAGGTTTAATGATAATAAAGAAGAATGTGCTGCCTCCATCTTCAGGGTGAACGAGTAAGCCAAGCTAACAACAGCAAGCTGCAAGCAGCATATTATTTCTTGTTGGTTACCTGCTTTGTTTATTCTTTCATCCTGAAGACAGAAAAAGTATATCCTCCAAAATGTCAGTAAACTGTTACCAGATTATGTGACATTACATCCCAGTGGATGGAATTCTTCAAGGTGTAAGCAAGAGTGTACAGCCAGTGGCAAAACTGAAGGCAACGCCAACAAAGATGCCTAAGCATAACACATAATCAGATTCTAAAGGGTTCTGACAATGGCGCATAACACTCAGAATTACTGAGATTTTGGAATCTGCCCATAATTTGGTATTCTAAATACTAGAAAACACGTTTTGGAGACTGGGTCCGTTTCCATCCTCGGGTGAGGGGTGAGACACTCTGTTGGGTCCCTTAGAAAGAGCTAACCTCAATCAGTGGGCCAGGTCATCATGAGAGGAGGAGACACCCACTCTGTTGGGTCCCTTAGAAAGAGCTAACCTCAATCACTGGGCCAGGTCTTCATCAGAGGGGGAGACATCTACTCTGTTGGGTCCCTTAGAAAGAGCTAACCACAATCACAGGGCCAGATCCTCATGTGAGAGGGAGACACCTACTCTATTGGGTCCCTTAGAAAGAGCTAACCTCAGTCATTGTCTCCCACCTTGCCTGAGGATGGAAGCAGATCCATTTTCCGAAACGTTGTGTTTTCTAGTTTTTAGAATACCAGAAGATGGACAAAGTTAGAAAACCCAGTAATTCTGCATACTACATAAGGATTCCAATTTATAAATCTACTTTTAAGGACAGTGGTGTAATGCAAAGCCCAGATCACACGAAACAAACTGAAAACAGATTATAACATTTATCTCATTAAGTCATTCATGTGTTGTTACTTAAACTACCTGCAGACCCAGTAAGATGACTAACAAGCTGAGGCTTCAAATGTGTATCTTGAGGTGCCCGGTTCAAATCTCAGCTGGGACACTGACTCTCACTATGCTGTCAGCATCCTTCAGATACTATATAACATTAAACAGTGGGCTGATTGATGAATAATCGAGTGGAGAGACAAGATTCAAACCAAGCACCTCCCGAATACAAACAGGAAGTGTTCATGCTTCAGACTACGCTCATCAGTAGTGGGCACTACCAAAGCAGAAGAGCAGTGTGTGAATCTCTCCTCATACTGTCCCCTTGAAAATGGAAACACAACTCATTTACAAAATGCTATGGTCTTTATATTAAGAGCTAGGATGGCAGACAAATTGTAAGTTGTCTTACATGTCAACTCATTTCACCAGACACAGCAGAAATCAGGAATCATGTTCCATAACCAGTCACTCATATATGTCCCTGTGCTTAATTAATTCAGCACTATGCCATGAAGACATATGGGGGGAGTGGAGATATAGCTCCACCATTGACCTTAGTACTAGACGGAGGTGAGTGGTCAGCTTCACACCCCTCCTGCTTTATCCCCAGGGAAAGAGTCCCAGGCACCCATTAGATAGAAGGCTGGGTGGGTCCCAGAGCTGGTCTGGATGCTGTGGTACATACAGCATATAATTCTTATCATCTTGCTAAAGACTATTTTGCATTCATTGGATTCTGCATATCAGTCACAAACACTGAGATCTTTATTAACATGTCTTACTTTTAAGACATATTCTCCTTTATCGTACAATGGCAGGAAGTAATAGCCATTGTTTGGTGCACAATCGGTATGGTCCTTTAAGCTTCCTTGTTTAGTGTACCTGCAACACAAGAAAAAAAGAGTCATCAAAATGGGTAACAAACTATAGGATACTGTTAATATTATATTTCAGCATTCTGTTGGACTGGTTACCCATATAATTCACAAACACAGTCTTGGACATGCAACTTTCTATTCCCAATAACCAACTTCCATCCATTAAAACCACACAAAACTGTGTCATGCCAACAGCAGCAGCAGCAGCAGCAATTTAAACCAAATTATAATCAAGATATAACAACATTTTAGAACAAAGAATGAAAAAGAAAACAATTCAGTGAAGTGACTACATATATAATCTGTTTATCAGCTTATAGGGTTGAAACATGTTGCAGAAGAACCAGTTATTATAATATATGACAACACAGAACATGACCAGTCTACGAATCTGATGAGAAATAGAACTCCAAGGCTGCCCCAGTGAATTACAGGATATAATTGTCTAATCATATAGTAATGCTATATTCTCCCACCACCAAGCTGATGCTTCACTGAAACTTGATGTAAAGTTACTCAAAAGTCGCTGCCCTTAGGTTGATAAACTGTACGTCTACTGGGTACAGTGTTGAAGTACAAGGCCAAACTTACCTTTATATGGCAGACTACATACAAGTTCCGCCAAGCAATGGGTTATATTACACGGGTTAGGTCAATGGGCCAGGTGTCACCGGGAACGAAGAAAACGGTTCTCACACAAACAATGCGGTTAACTAATAATCATCATTCACACAGTGACAGCGAAGTTAACTAGCCAAATTAAGTAAATAACAACACAAAAATTTCAGAGTAGCAGTAATCACGACAGTTCATCATCCCAAAACACAACATTTCATTTCTGGGACCACTAGGAGATGGTACAATTATACTCACAATTTTACTTCTACCTGGGAAAAATTAATGTCTATGTCACTTTTAACAAATCCTCCACAACCCAAAATGTCTTCCGCGTCACAGAATATAAGACACGTTAACGCGATGAAAAATAACAATATTTTCAGTACGTAATACATCTTCTGTTGGAACCGCTAAAACTTTACAAACACAACACATAACCTCAACATTCACTCTCCCAGCATTTCCATGACCGCACTGCTATTCACATCGATTAACATGTCATACCCACAAAGATATCGATAGATATCGAACATAGCCCACTACCAGGAACCTAACGGATTCTATCGGTACTACTACCTGCTTTCTGTAGACGAAATAGCTGAAAATGCTCTAAAATCAAACACAAATTACAAATTTATTATCAGAGATAAATAAATTCTAATGAAACCTTATTGTGAAGAATAATTTTTTCCAGGTTAATGTATGTATTTTTATTTGATATACATAAGAGAAAAGGAAGAAAAAATAGCTTAAAAATCAGTCAAATTCATAGGTAAGTTCTGTTGCTGCGGGCAACTATATATACAAAATTTCAAGATGCATGTAGTGTACTCGCTTCGGCGGTACATATACTAAAATTGGAACGATACAGAGAAGATTAGCATGGCCCCTGCGCAAGGATGACACGCAAAATCGTGAAGCGTTCCACATTTTTTTTTTTATCATTCGTACTTTGAATGTTCGTATATGTAATGTCATGCACGAAGAATCGAATCGTTATCGTTATCGTAATTTGACGGATGGAGGAAGCACAGCAGAAAATATTTTACCCCTAATTATCATATCGTAGATGTGGGATTTGCAGTAAGTATTTCAAGGAGAATCTAAAGGGTTCTGGCGATGGTGGATCACACAGAGAATTACTGGGTTTTTTAACTTTCTTCATCGTCTGAAATTCTAGGTAATAGAGGTCACTCTAGGCAACAGAGGACAAGATGTTTCGGAAACTGGATCTGTTTCCGTCTTCAGGTGAGAAAGGAAGACAGAAACAGATCCAGTTTCGAAAACATTGTGTCCTCTATTACTCAGAATTCCAGAGGATGAAAAAAGTAAAAAAAAAAAAAAAAAAACAGTAATTCTGAATAACTATTTCAGTCTAGCAATTTAAACCTGTGACTGCCATGTGATGTCCTGTGATGAGGTGTAAATCTTATGTGACAAAGGTAAATCATGTGATTCTTCCACAGTCATTGAAAATCTTCTGTGTTTTATAAGTACTTGCAAAATTTGCTAACTATGTGACCAATCAAAGAGCCCCATCCATGGACAGTATCAAGGAAACTGCTGCCCACATGTCTCATTTCTCAGGCTAGAACCAACCTTAACAACCTAGGGCACTAGATATAGCTTGCCGTTGTTCCGTATTCTGGTCACTGTCTTAATCTGACGAACAATTATACAGCAGGTATTTGTATGATTTCTGCATGCTCTCATCTCACGTATTTCACTGATACTTATTCATTTGCCATATCATACTTGGGATGAAAATAGAACCAGCATTAGTTCACTATCCTATCATTTCTAATAATTTTAATTTTTGACAACTTTTTTGTCCAAGATTCTTATTTTAAATATATGCAATGAACAAAATATTTCATTTTTATTACTCATTACCATAAATTACCTACTTCAGTACAATGAAGAGGCATAGTGATCTGTGGCTTTGACACTGTATAAATAAATGGTGAATCAGCTGATAAGATATGCTCCCTGGGAGATTACATTACTACCACAATGCTAAGAGTGAGTTCTCTGAAAGTATATCATCTGTGGCATTCCTTAGCTTTGTAGCATTAGTTTTCTGTCTGCAGTAAATGATTATGAAGACAACTCAAGTAAGAAAAACTTAGCAAATCATATATTACTAACTTCTTGGGAGTACACTTTCCAGCTGTTGTTTTTATCATTTCATTCTTCAGGTGTGAATTACTAATCACAATGATGAATGAAATTTATTACTGTGATAAACATCCACTATGGAATTTTTATGTCTGTATTCAACTGTCCCATATTCCAAGCATTATCCATCCATTTGGAGTGAGTGAAGAACTGTACATGAAAATGGATGTCACTGTTCTATTATGTGCTCTGTGTTTTATTTTATTTGATTTTCAAATGCAAATCTTGATGTATTAACCCAAGACAAGAATTTGGTGTTGAATTTTAGTACAAAATTTCTGGCACTTCACATTTCTCAAGTATTACACAGTTTGAAGAATTTTAAGTATCTGTACAACTATAACAGATATGGATGAAGTTCATGACAAAATAGGAGTTGAATAATTCTGGTAATTCCTTATTTAATTAAAAAATTCTTCTGTTTAGTATGAAGTATGTTCTCTTAATTTAAAGGAAAGGCATAATTGACAAGTGTTTGAAAACAAAATACCCAGAAAAATATTCAGTTCTATAAAGTGTACAAAATAGGACATAATATAATGAGAAACTCCCTGAGTTGTATGGGTTGCCTACAAGTATTATGTACCAAAATCAAGGAGCTTATGGTGCTTCACACATGTAGGTTGGGTGGGACAGACAATAACACCATTTCTTTTTGTGGGGAAACCTTTTCAAAAACTGAGAAGAAGATGGGGGTGTAATACTAGGGTTGGATCCTAGGGGTGAAAGATAGATAGGCTGGCTGAAAATCATGTCTGGAGATTGGATTTGATATTAACAGCATTGAGTCATTATATTTATGTACATATGAATTAGTCCTGTTGGAGTACAACTGAATGAATTAGTCGACATAGAATGAGGTCAGATATGATGACATGTGGTCTGGGCCATTATTTCATCCAAATTTCTTTTTAAGGGCCACAGATTGTTTGATCATTCTCCCTATTACTATCAATTTGATTAGGACCACTAGCCTAGCCATCCCATTCTGTACCACAATTTAAATGTTTGATTTGCTCTTCTGTCCTGATGATGGAGACAACATATTGCTCTGAAACGTTAGTAAACATCTACTAGGGCACATTTCAGTCCAATTCACAACACAGTAATCTTCATAATCACCACTGTGAAAACCTCAAATCTGACATAGATTGTACCCGTAACAGAACCATACTTGTAAACACAAACTAGAGAGAAGCTGCAATACTTCCTTCAGATTAGGAAAAAGAGAACTAGTCAATAAATAGTGCAAACAAGTTAACACATAGCTTTGACTAATATGTATATATTTCTCCTTTTTCAGTTGCAGAAAATGGGGCTGTATTATCTGCACAAATGGTTGTTCAGTCTTTTGCTACTGTCAACAAATTGCTTTAAATTCAGTTTATCCAACAGTAAACTCATATGCCCTGATTATTGTAAATGTTTTATATCCTCGGGTTTACGCACAGCTACATGTATAGGACAGAGACTGCCAAACATAGAAACTGATGTGCCAAGTAACGTTCAAATACTAGACTTAACCAGTAATTCCATATCAACGCTGGAAAAAGATGGGTTTAAGGTAACTCTTCTCTTTATTCTGTGTCTATTAGAATCAGTCTTCTGTCCTATTGAAAAACTGTAAATGAAATTACACAAATCGATACAAAATATATTATTTTACACAAATGCAAAACTTGATTTTGCACTGTAGAAGAAATATGTAAATTGAGAACAAAATGCTGAAGATAATATTTGAACCTAAGAGGAAGTAATATGTGAATGGTGAAAATTACACAATGAGGAGCTTAATAATTTGTACTCTTCATCAAACATTGTTAAGGTGATTTAATCAAGCAGGGTCAGACAGGCAGGACATACGTACTAGGAAATGAAAAGTACATACAGAATTGTGGTTGGAAAACATCAAGTGAAGGGTCTGTTTGGGAGACCTAGGCATAGATGAGTGGATAACATTAAAGTGGATCTTAATCAAACAGTGTTTAGAAGTTTGTACCATATTCGGTTGGCTCAGATATGTTTCAATGGCATGTTTTTGTGAACATATTAATGAAACTTCAGGATCTATGAAAGCAGGACATTTCTTGATGAGTTAATAAATGTCAAATTTTCACTGAAGTCTCTATAATATACACTTAGATCCTGTATGACTTTAAGTCTTTATCCATTGTCTGTTCTATGAAGTTTTTCTCCAACAAACCACACATTACCGTGTATTGGTAACATTTGTACTAAATTTACATTCACAGGTATCCCAGTGTGCAGTTTGCCTATCACCATTTATGACTGAGGTATTCTGCAACTGTTAATAGAACTCTCATATAGACAATATCCAGGGCTGGCAGGAGTCTAAATAATGCCCCGAAGAACAAGAGATTCCACAGCCCCCTTTCCCCAGTTAAAAACAGTAAACATTCCAAAACTGTTAACTAACTTAACTCCATGAAGCTGAACCCTTCTTGAGAAGTTGCCAGTTGTGCAGCTACTCAAGAATTTCCAAAAATTTTATGGAACCTGAAGGTTCATTACCATTTTCAGAAGAGCCATCCACTGGTCCTTATCCTGAGCCAGATTAATCCAGTCCACCCCATCCTACATCTCTAAGATTATTCACTCACCTACAGCTTGGTCTTCCTAGTGGTATCTTTCTTTCTGGTTTTTCTAGCAATATCCTACATGCATTCCTTCTCTCCCCCATGCGTGCCACATGCCCTGCCCTTCTCATCCTCCTTGACTTGATCATTCTAATTATACTTGGAGAAGAGTACAAGTTAAGAAGGTCCTCATTATGCAGTTTTCTCCAACCTCCTGTCCCTTCATTGCTCTTTGGTCCACATATTCTCCTCAGCACCCTGTTCTCAGATACCCTCAGTTGTAATTAAAAATACTAAATTCTGAGGCACTGTGACAAACATTGCCACTAATATCATAATTATTATTACAGATAGTTTTATATTGCTGCATTATATATTTAGCTGTCAGCAAATTAAGTCACAATATGATCAAAATTAATGCTCATGTAACAATAATAGTTTGAACAATGTTCCACCTCAGGTGGCTGCTTTCTCTACCTGGGCTAGTGTGCCTTAAAAGTAGTCAATGCCCTTCTCAATTTTAAACTGAGAGTTACCCTGACATAATATGCTGAATGGCACTCCGCTGACATATCACTGAAACTAGAAAATTATTCAACTAACTGATAATGAATAAACATGATGAACACATAACATGAATACCAACTTGCATCCAACAGCTACATTTCACCTCAGATTTAGTCTGTCACAGTATTTGTAAAATCACAGTCTTTCCAAAATCGATGTGTTTTGAGGCCTCAAGATGAAGAATGCGGAGTCAAATGTGTGATCATTCAGTCATTTTGGTACACAGATATTGTGTTTACTCATGTTCCTTACTTATGCTTAGGTTGTCAAAACCTGGAGTCAGTATTTTAAGAAATGCTTATTTCAATTCTTTGGGTATATGTCACGGAAATTATTCATATTTTTCAGAATCTTGGGCTAACATCCCTCTACAAATTGCAAATCCGCCACAACCACATAGGGAACATGGACCTTCACGCATTTTCAGGACTTACAGAACTAATAATATTAGACTTATCTTACAATCATCTTGATTACATTTTGCCAGCAACATTTGAAGATACTCCTCGGCTGCGATCATTTTATCTGCAAGGAAACAGGCTCAAGATATACCCAGGACCTTTTCTGATAATTCCAGCTCTCCAGGTATACTTTACTTTCCATGTGCATGTATATATATATATGAGATATGATATAACCTATGATAGAGCAAAGCATAGTTCTCCTTGCTGCCTGTTTCTTGTTGTTTGTTCCTCCAAAACATCTGTGAACTCTTACTGGACTGTACGGCTCCACATTTTTGAAGGAAATACCCCTTTAGTCACTGTTGTAAGTAAGTAAGTAAGTAAGTAAGTAAGTAGGTAGGTGAGTAAGTAGGTAAGTAAGTAGGTGAGCAAGTAAGAAAGTAGGTAGTACGTAAGTAAGTAAGTAAGGTATTTTTTTTATTGCTAGTGGGGTGGGACTAAGTCCCTTGTATTGTGGCCACTTCTGGCCTATTGTACCAGATGATAGGTGATGGTGATTGTGGAGCAGTTGGTGGAATGAAGATTGGCAGGGGAAACCGAAGTACTCGGAGAAAACTTGCCACAGCCACTTTGTCCACCACAAATCCCACTTAGACCCAGGATCGAACCTGGGCCACTGCGGTGGGAAGCCAGTGAATAACCACTTGAGCTATGGCACGGATTATGTAAGTAAGGTAAGTAAGTGAGGTTGTTTCTGTGCTTAACTAATTAAGCTTCGCACCATAAAGGCATATGGGGGAGTGGATATATAGATCCCCATTTTCTTGACCTCAGCACTAGCTGGAGGTGAGCGGTCAGCTTCCCGCCCCAGCCGCTTTGCCCCGGGGAAAAGAGCCCATGGCATCCACTGGATAGGAGGCTGGGTGGGCTCCAGAGTCGGTCTGGACGACGTGGAGAAGAGAAAATTCTTTACCCTACTGAGATTCGAACTCCGAGTCCTCAGTCGTCCAGCCTGTAGCCTGTTGTTATCCTGTCTTATAACCAGTGTTGTGAGAACCTCAAATGAAATATTTTACACATGAACCTCGATTAAGCTACACTTAAAATTCACTGCTTTATTCTGTTACTTCATTTAGTTTCAAAGAAGTGTTTCATGGTATTGATAATCAGTGTCTGATCATTTCTTCTTAGCTTTTGCGGACCCAGTTAAATTCAGTGGCCCCTAAGAGCGTCAAATCAGTTCGTTTAAATGGCCTCCATATATTAATAAATCATAGCTATAGAGACTTGATACTGACAGGATTCTTATATAAAAAACAAATTTAAAAAAATATATGTGTATTCATTTCAATGTGTTAAACACAGCAGAAGACATTTAAATATGCAGCATCCACAGTTTTATTCACACAAAAGAGTTTATTTATAGTTATGGTGGGGTGAGACTGAGTCCCTTGATACTTACACTGCAAGTGGACCCACTGCACAAGGTGCAGATGATGGATGAGACACTACAAAGTTGGGAGAAATAATATTGGCAGGCAAAAAGTGAAGTACTCAGAGTAGATAATCTTCCCAGTACAACTCTATCCACCACAAATCACACACAGATTTAACCAAGGACTCTGTGATGTGAAATTGATGACTAACTGCATGATCTATGGCATAGAATTTGCTAGTGTGTTAATGTGCAAGTTGCAGTGAATGTAATGTTTATTACTTACAGATTCTAGACATCAGCAGTTGCCAATTGGATCACTTATATCATGACAATTTTATGGAACTACCTGCTCTGTTAAGCCTGAACTTATCACATAACCAGCTGATAAAATTGGAAGTGAATGTGTTGGCAACACTTCAGAATCTACAAAGCATAGACCTCAGAAAGTAAGGACTGAAACTTGTTACTCCAGTATGGGTGTTTTATTGAATAAATGGATGTAATAATGTGGCAAATTAGATACAGGATTCTCATGGTAGTGATATCAAAGGGTTTGGAGTATCTAGTCAAGAAGTGAAAACTTAGGGAATTATATAAAACTATCAACACAGAAGCAGATATTAAAAGAAGTTTGGCGTTGTTAGACCATGTCAATGGATCACATTTTAAAGTAAGCCAGAAAATAGAAGAAAAGTAGGAAGGCTCAAACTGAGAGGCTGGAGGATGTAAAGAGATATAGGAGCTACTCTGGAGGTTGTGGAGAAAACAAAATCTTTTGCCAGGAATCAAACAGATAAGTACAGTGTCCACTGTACTGACTGAGCTATCCTGGTTTATATCAGTATTGAGATCTCACTCTAAGGGTAAAGCAGCGGTAGTATGAAGCTGAGCATTCAGTGTCATCTAGTGCTGAGGTTAGGAATGAATGCAAGTTCCCATTCAAGCACCTATGTATATGCCCTTCCAACATTCTGCTTAGACAAGGGAACAATCATGCTCTTTCATTGAAGGAACAGAAGAGTGTCTAATGTGGCCATATATTCTGATTTATTTTATTACTTATCTCCTCATATCCTCCACCTCACAAAAGACAGAATATTTGAAATTATGTTGTATTTTAGCATCCTGTTGCACTGATTCGTAGCCATAATGTGTATATATTAACCGTCACATCATAAGACACAGTAAAGACATAATTAAAACATATGAAGAACGACTCCCATAGCGGATGGCAATACACACGAACTTGATATGCGACATGTAAGATGATAGATCTTGGTAAGTTTTAATATATAAATTTTAAAATTTTATTATTGAACAACGACAAACACATTTTACGTCATTTTATAAATGGACACTTGATGGCAGGCAGTGCAATGGTTTAATGTGATTAATACACCTGAGGATGGCAGAATGATGCCGAAACATGTAGTGTGAAGTGAAATTGTATGCACTAAAAGATGGTTAATATATACACATTATGGATATTTGAAATTATATATAATTTTTTCATTGTTCTATTGACTTCTGAGAAATCAAAGAGGTAAAATTGAGACTTTCTACTAGATTACATGGTATCACATCTTATTCACTGCTGCGAGGATATCAAACCTCACAATGATTTACTTTAAGTGTACTGTCTTTTTGAATATAATGCTGTGTAATCCAGTACAAGTTTACAGATAGTTTCGAAGGAATGTCAGTAAATTTCCACCACACTACACAGCTTTACATCCAGGGGACAATAATCTTCATAGTCACAGCTGTGAAGATCTCACATCCACAATTAATCTATTACTTTCCAGAAATCCATGGTCATGTGATGGAAATACTCATGAACTAGAAGCATGGCTAAAGAAATACCATGTTCAGTTTGATCCAGTGTGCAAGAAGAAACCTGAGAACAGTGACAAATTTCAAAAGATTGTCTCTGCAGTTGACAACCAAAATGACACAGAAGTAATGAGTGATGACGATTTATTAAGGCTCTGGTCAATTAATGCAAAAGATAAAGACTCTTATATGAAAGAAAATGAATGTGTAAAAAGTAATAATTCAACTTCAAACAGTGATAATATTTTTAAAATTTTTGACAAGATTCCTTCATTCTGGTCATTCTTAATGGGTATAGAGATTGGAATTGTGATTGGAGGGATAGGTATGTGGCTGTTGAACAGATTTCACCGTGTCCGAACGTCACAGCCAATGCCTGTCTCAAGAAGACTTAACAATACACATAGCATACAATCACTGCAAAACAGAGCTTCTTTCTTCAGATGGAGAAGTATAGAGGAGGATACTACTGCATTGTGGACCGAACTGGAAACCATCAACTGTCCTGACACTCCACCCCCAGCTTATCGTGATTCTTTTGTTCACATCCAAAGAAACACTTTTACATGACACAAAAGAACAGACTGGCCAACTGTGTCTCCAAACTTAAACAGATCTCATAATTTATTTATTCTTCTGCACATTCATTTTGTATATAAATTTGACAAATACATGTACATATAAATTATGTAATAAATAAACTTTTTATAGCCCCTAACAACCAAAATAATGAGATGGACAGAACATGTAGTATGCATGATGAAAAATGTGCATGTTTTCTTCTTCCTGTGATCCTTCTGACCGTTTTCTGATTTCAACCTTATCCATAACTGGTTCATAAAGAGTTACTTACTTACTTACTTACTTACTTATGTAGCTGAGTCTTTCTTGAGAAGCCAAATCTGCAGCTGATCAAGAATTTCCCAGAATTTTATGGAACCTGAAGGTTCATTACTTACGCCTTGGGAGCCCTCCACTAGTCCCTATCCTGCGCCAGATCAATTCAATCCATACCACCCCATCCTATCTATCTAAGATCCATTTTAATATTGTCCACCCACCTACGCCTTGGTCTTCCCAGTGGTCTCTTTCCTTCTGGCTTTCCCACCAATATCCTATATGCATTCCTCCTCTCCCACATTCGTGTTACATGCCGTGCCAACCTCATCCTCCTTGACTTTAACATTCTAATTATACTTGGAGAAGAGTACAAGTTATGAAGCTCCTCATTATGCAGAGGTTCATAAAGACTTAGAATGGAAAAAAACAGAACTTCAACCACCAAGAAAATACACTAACATATTCAGTCATAGACTTGAATGGATTCTGATGATGGTGTATACTGTACAGAACTATAAGGTTTATTTTGAACTCAATCCATTGTCTGGTATATATAAGACAAAAAACCACAACGTTTCAGAGACTGGATCTGTCTCCGTCCTCAGATGGATGGGGCAAGATAGACCTACTCAGTTGGGCCCATTAGATAGAGCTGGGTCCAGCGATTGAGATTAGCTCTTTCTAACGGACCCAACTGAGTAGGTCTATCTTGTCGCATACACCTGAAGATTGAGACAAATCCAGTCTCCAAAACGTTGTTGTTTTTTGTCTTATATATACCAGACTATGGATCGAGTCCAAAATAAACCTTATAGTTCTGTATATTCAGTCATGTGGATTTAAATAGTAGTACCTGTGAAAAACAAAATGATATCTAGCCTGGAACTCATATGTATATATATATATCACTATATATAGTGAAGGTATATATGCATCTAATTCTTGCTAATGAGACAGTGAGAAGAACAGCTATGTCATACCTCCACACCAGCAGCTAAGAAAACAATATGGTGCATAACTACCATAATCCAACCAACTGCTGCAGGTCTAATGAGTGTGAACAGCCCAAGAGCCAAGGATCTGTACCATGGAGTTAATCAGTTACTTAATAGTTGAATGTCCATTGAGAATTCAACAGAAAAATTTAACAGTTTCCATATCTACCTGTTTTTCACAGATAACATTAGCACTGATGTGCTCTTATTCATTTCAACCCATGAAATAGCCATGTTACTAAATATGTATGCTGTGAACTTGAAATGTACTGGAAAGACAGCGTGATATCCATAAATCTTTTTATTCAATTATGGCATATACATTATATATTTTTATTACACTTCTGATATACTTATATATGCAATTCATAATAACAACCATATCACAAAAATATACAATCCTGTACATGTATTGCAAAAATAGCTTTATATGTATGTCACTTTAAAACCTAAAATAATAATTGTAATATAACTTATGGTGGTTGGTCTGATCCATGGAACTGCATGTAAATGCATTATGAAATTTAAAGATTACCAACTTCTGGGAAACAACGCCATATAGTCTTGAAGTTTACCGAGGTTTTCAAAGACTGCACAACCTCCATCTTCAGAGATGAAGCAACCTGCAAGATGGAGGCAGATCATTCTTCTGTAATGATGACAAACTTCTAAATATTATACATCATCACATCCCAGAAGATGGTAATCTATATAGTTGAAAAACCTCAAATCCAACATTACGGAATTTCCTTGGCAAGTATTCCAAGGAATAGAAGTGTAATCCAGACACCAGTACCTGAATATTGCACTGGACACAGTCCAGTGTCTGGTGGGAGATATTTAACATACGTAGCATTTTGGGAACTGAAACCATTTCTGTCATCAGCTGAATGAGGCGAGAGAAGCCTACTCAGTTAGGCCCATCAGAACAAACTAGTCTTGACTGATGCCAGTCAAATGCCTCTGAATTGCTCACAGATATTTTTCATGGAAGTGGCTGATGTTTTCAAACCATTGCTCTCACAGTGAGAACCACAAGTGAAGCAAGCAATGCAGGATTACATGTAAAAAAAAAAGTAAAGCTGTCCATGCTTAATTAAGCGACATTCCATTAAGATGTATGGGGGAGTGGAGGTAATGCTCCACCATTCTTGACCTTGGCACTACATAGAGGTGAGCTGTCAGATTCACATCCTAAAAAGAGCCCCTGGCATCCTTCGCATAGGAGGTTGAGTGGGCCCTAGAGCCAGTCTGGACGCCATGGAGAAGAGAAAAATCTTACAACTGCCAGGAACCGAACATCCACTGTCCAGCCCATAGCCTGTCACTATATCGACTGTGCTACCCTGACTTGAAGGATTACATGAGACCATATTTTTGTGAATTATTTACTGATGAAAGTCTTTATCACAATGAGATGATGAATTGGAAGGGATTTGGAATGATGCAGCTTTAGCCTATCTGAAGTATTATCCCAGCCATTTACTTGGAGGGACTGAGGAAAATTAAGAAAACATCATCCAGGATAGATGGTGTCACAGTCGATTTCCAAATCAGTCACTCAAGATATGTTATAATAGGAATGCAATGCCAATATATATGAACCTTTCATTTCATAGTCATTAATTTAAGTAAATAATGAGATATATGCTAAAATAAATTTCGCTGAATAAAACACTGATATGCGCGATATGGAGATTTTGAAAGTTCTAAACATATTTTAACTTGAGCTGTACTAGACTGCTGCAAGCTTGAAGCTCCAAGAATTACTGAAGGATGAACAGTATAGAATAAAAGTAGATTATCACATGGGCTCACAAATAACATCTGGAGTACAACTGAAGATAAAAACATGTCTAACCCTTGGTGCCATCTACTGACAGAAAGCTAAAGTTATCCCTGGGCTTACTTAATTAAAGACCATGCCATGAAGACATATGGGGGAGTGGAGGTACAGCCCTACCATTCTTAACTCTGGCAATTGATGAAGGTCAGTAGTGAGCTTCAACGTCCCTGCCAAGCTACCCCCAGGAGTAAACTACCCCCACATGATCTAATGTTAGTTCCTCAGAACTCTAGACGTGGTAGAGGGGTCATACCATCTCTCGTGGAGTGGAGGGGGGGGGCAATCTTATCAGCTTACATCAGCGTGGGGACTACCAGTTTGGAATGTAGCGCCTTGGAGTGTGGTCAGGTGTATACTACGTTGTGTTGCTTGTTAGTTGGTCTCCGTAGGCAAAGTTTTCTGCTTGGGGAGTAGCTCTGAATGTCACCACAGCAAGTGTACAGCTTCGCATGCTCCACAACAGCGTTTACCTTTCCACGCGGCTAAAGTTACGAGGCACTAACTATAGTAGGTACCTAGCATGCTAACAGTTAAAATCTTACAAATCAGTATGTACTTGAAGAGGTACATCTTCTGGGATTAATGCTGCATAGTATGTTGAAAGTGGGTTGACATTTTGGAGGAACATATCACTTCCATCTTCAGGATCAATGATTAAGTCAAGAAAGAAACCATCTTAAAGCAGAGATCTGCTTGACTTCCAATGCACTACATGACATTATATCCCAAGAGATAATACTTCCATGAGAACCTTAAATCTTACATAATGTATTCATTTTATAGTCAATGTATTTTCTGTATTTAAAAAAAAAAACAACTTGTTCAAAGTATGGCATTTACTAAACTACTTTGAACTTAATATTATCCAGTAAAAATCTTATCAAAATTACAACTAAGATAATAAACATGAACTAAGATCTATACATCAGAGTATACAAAGTCATCTATTCTTTTAACCTGCAGAAATTATTATTACAACTTAAGAAAATAAACATAAATATTTTGTGGAACAAACCTGTTTGAAACAGTGAAAACTGGCATTCAAACACATAAACTTTTCTTTTACTATTATAAATAAAATTTCTCACAAGAATGATAATTACACCATTGAATAATTCACAGTCCATTACAAAACAATAAAAAAAGTTCCCTTTATTTAAATTTTAATTGCAGAGTTGAATAATATTTTAATATGTACACCAAGATTAAATGTAAGAATGTTTTATGCATAAAAGAAATAAATGTATTTAACAATACTCAAACATGTTTAAATTTGCAAGGAAATTTATTTTGTGTAAATACAGTCAGAAATTATTCTGAAATAAAAGTAACAGGTTACAAATAAAGGGGTGTAGCTCTACAAAATGCAAAAATATTTTGTTTGTTACCACCTGATTCAGCAATCAATGGTAGATATTGTCACACAAAAGTAATGTGAAACTTGCCACTCATATCAGCAGTTTATATAAATATAGCTACAACCTTTTTGTACGAAACTCTTCACTCATATGGTGCACCCAGCATTAAGAACAGACTGTACTGTCACGGACCATTACTTCAAATGGTAAAACTCAAAGTAATTTTTTCTGTTTATTTTCTCAAACAACTAGGTTTTAAAACAGTTACGTTTATTCTATAAGATGGAAGTCAAAATCTCTGACAGTTTAGTGTTGTCCATAGGTTTCTGACACCTACATAAAATGTGGAGGGAAGATACAGTGCATGCATACAAAGTTCTGGTAAGGAAACAGGCCACTTGTGTAACACACATAGATAGATGGGAGGACAATATCACAATGGATCTTAAAGGAATAAAATGGGATGGTATGAGATTAATCTGGCTCAGAATACTGACCAGTGATGGGCTTTTGTGAAGATTATAAAGAACCTTCAGGTTCCATAAAATGCTGGGAATTTGACTAGTTAAGTAACTGTTAGCCTCTCAAGAAGGGCTCTGCTCCATTTAATGTTTAATGAGTAACTCTGGCTTTTAGTCTTCAGCCGTGTTGTATGCTGAAGCTGTGGCAACACTTCGGCATACATTGCAGTCACCTTCTAAACCCCAACGATGGCAACCGCAACATACACTGGAACAGTTGCGGTTAAATCCCAAAAGCCAAAATTTCACAGTTGTGGGCAAAAATCACTGTGAAGTGAAGTGTGTGTTGGGATGGAACGCCTAATGATGCATTTGCAAACTGTACAAGTAAACAATTGTATATAACTACTATTCCACAACACAATGTAATGATGCTGTCATTTCAGTTCAACAGCCTCTTCTTAACATTGGATAGGCCATATAATTATCTTATTTACTGCTTTTGTGCAGAAATCAAAATGCCACAGAAACAATACCAGATCAATAAAAATATTTATACATTCACATGTATGGTCTTCTGGGGTGTGACACAGTGTAGTTTTGTAGATGGGTACCATTGGCCTCTCTTCTCTATATCTGTACCATTTTTCCCCCATAAGGCTTCCTCTTCTACCCTGATGATAGAGGCAGCAAGTTCCTCCATAACGAAGAACTGATAGCTGACATGTAGGAGCAGGTTACATTTATTTGAAAAATGAACTCCAGAAAGTAATGCCATTTGGGTGTCAGTTGAACTGCAACCTGACCTACGTCATGCACAGGATGACCTAAAAGTTGTACCCCATGGGGATTTTTTTTTTAAATTCGCTTAGTGGGCGGTGGAGTCCAACTGGGTCCACTCAACACGGCAGCCACTGATTTGCCTATAGTAGCCTGCCCCAGGTGTACATGATGATGGAGAATTTGGTGGAATGAAGATTGGCAAGGGAAACTGAAGTACTCAGAGAAAACCTGCCCCAGCACCACTTTATCCACCACGAATCCCACTTGACCAGACCCAGGATCAAACCCGGACCACTGTGGTGGGAAACCAGCAACTAAACGCCTGAGCTATGGCACAGCCAATCCCACAGGGATTTGTATGATTTAGTCCTATAGGATATAAAATATTTTTACTGCATTAATGTTGTTACTACAATAATTTTTAATAACAATGACAGCAGTAATAATAAACCTACACAATAATTATTTGGAAAAAATATATAATATTTGTCCTTGTATTAATTAAAATTGATGAGCACAACTTTTGGGCTTCTCTGTACATTTGGGCCAGTCAATCACAGCAATACAAGTGAGGAACATTTACCTGAATTGCAATCCTTTCAGCTGCAAATAATTTTATAGGTATATATTTCTGAACATTACTTAATTTTTGCAGCAGCTTGTGAATTACTTAATTCTTTCCGATGCATCGCTTAGTGGTATACCATGGGATTTTGAGTACTGTTGCTCACTGATGAAACACGGAGGACACTGCCATATATCCAGTCTGCACCATGAATACTACATTCTCCTTCAAATTCCTTCCCTTACTCTTTTAGGCAACCTTTCGCACAAGCATGTGCCATGAGTACTTGAATGGTCACTACTCATCTATTAAGCTATGCAGGATCATATCACAGAAGCCCATAACCTTTATATCACTGTGAGAATGCCAGATCTCATATTTACACTATTATTACACAATTCCCTAAACATAACACACAAGATACATTCTATATACAGACAGGAATTTATGTTCATTGTAAATAGATTCTTAGCTAAATACACAGCAAGTATAAACATATAGAAGAATAATACTTTCTGGTCTGAATCATGCAATTGAGCTGTGCAACAGTATACTTGAAGAACACATTATATACAACTCAGCAACATGTTGTATCAATCACTGAAGTTATATGACCATCAATGGGTATGCAAATGAGAAACAATGTGAGAAAAATGTTGAAGCAAAAAATATATGAATAAACCATTTGCAACCATTCAAAATGAGATAAAAATGAATGTAAGGTTACTACATAAGGCCATCTTATCCAGATGGAATTAAGATCTGTTTGCTACAAGTGGATGCCCAGAAAATTAATAAATTCCCTGAAAGTGGCATAAGTTCAAGAAGAAATCCTTTGGACATTCTTATATCAAAATCATCATTCTCTCATTTGGTCTTTCTTCAAATAAACTATAATACAAAAATAAAAGTAATATTTACTACAGAAATCTTATCAATACATGGGTAAGCTGGATGATATGTAGTTGAGCAGAAGGATTCATCTTCATGTTGGATATGGTTGCTTTTCTTGTAACAATACATCTTACCTAAACTTTAAAGGAGTAACACTCACATTAAGAAATTAAGTTCACTCATGTAATTAAAGAGAAAAGATTGGGAATGAAGATTAAAATTGCTGAAATATCTCCACATTACTTTAACAATGGAGGCTACTGTACAAACTAGCAAGAGCATGAGCACTGTCAAGATTTTTCCCAAGTGGGGACAGCCTGAAAATTTGCTCAGAAACTTACATTTGAGCTATTTAGAAATATCTGCATAGAATGCCCTATAATTTTGGATCTCTATACTGAAACATATATGGCAGCACATTAAAAAAATAATTTGAAATTTTGTATAAATATTTTCTACCATTTTCAATTTTGACTTTTTTTTCTAAAGATCGGAGGGGGGGGGGTCAGATGTCTGGATTTTCCAAATTTTTTCGCATAATTAGGCCAGTATATTCCGAACATATGTTAAATAGTCTTACTTTCTCTGTATTGTTTTGGCAGCTAGAGAATGGTTAATGTTTAGTGCTTACAAGCAAAGAAAAAATTAAATTAAATGTGTTTAAACTGAATTAAAAATTGAAATCCTGTGAAAAATAAGTCAGATTGCAAGTGAAGCCGTGGCAGCTAGACATTTCGGCAGTTTCGGTTTGTGCGGAAGGGATTAATGTCTCTGAAATAAATTGTATATGTAAGTTATGTACTTGCATTTCTTCATGCAGGAGAAAACTCTACCCTTCTGGCTGACCACAAAGATCACATGAACCTTTTTAAAAAATGTTTTCAAACTAATCACGCACTTAAATTGTGGTCTGTACTGTACCTGAGTAGCCTGTATTACCTCATTATATGGCGCAAGGCCATTGCTATATGAGCAATAGTTAAATCTTAATATTGCCAAAAAATAAGAGAATCTTTGGAATAAGAGGACACCAAGACCCAAATTAAGCCAAAGAAGAAAGAACAAAGATAGAACACTTCACTGTACCCTCATGGTAACCCTTAATGTTGGCACAGCCATCTAAATGACCACATAGTGGCACATTTGAATTGAAACACTCACATAAGAACCAGCGCTCAAAATGGGTTCATATTTTCCAGCAAATGCCACAGAATTAATTTCAGCTTTTCTAGATCGCTGTTGAGGAACCTACAACTTGCAAGACTTCTCAATGTGGCCCACAACCTAATTTCACAGATGAAAAACTAAAAACATTAAGAAGAAAGCAGTCTTCTGGGATTTGGCACCGTGTATATGTGGTGTTAAAGAAGACTGCTTTCTTCATAGTCACCGCCGTGAAAGCCTCAAATCTAAAAACATTAACATTTACATAAACATTGAGACACTGATGATGAAGAAGCAACACCAGGCTTCTAATTGGGAACATAAAATATAAGTTTAAAACATAAATGCCCTCACCACTTGACTTATGAACTGGACAGGCTTTCAGATCTTCATATTTGTCCTTGTGCAATACAGTTTGCCCAAAGCCATTCTAAATAGATCATATTGTGCATATTATTCACACAGAAAACAGCCGTTACTAACTCTGACTAACCCATGTTTTTACTCCGAGCTCATGTAACTGCAAAAACATATCAATATATTTTCTTCATTTCTATAATATACCAAAAATAACTCTTTTATTACACAATCACTTGGAAGAGAGGAGGACAGCCAACCCCTGAACATCAAATATACCTTAGATAATTCACAATATCCAAAATAATAATGTTGTAACGTAGCAGGAGCGTTACTAACTCAAAAGAAAAAATTTGGTGATGGTATTTTAAACTGGAAACATCATGGCACATCCAATTTGAGCACTGCATTAAATTACCTAACAAATTATCTACAACATAAAACAGTTTCAATGGCAAATGAAGAGAAATATCTCGCAAATCATAGCATATGAAAATGATTAAGGCACATAATGTACAGTAAAAATTACACTATTCTAATGACATAGAAACTGGCACATCGGTGAATTTATTTCTTTTCGTTTGGTTCCTGAAATACAGATTGCAGTTTAAATTCAATTCATAATACAGTGGAACCCCCATTTAACGTTCCTCTTCTAACATTAAATTTTTATCAATCCAAAGTAGAAAAAAAACAGCAGCGTTAAATTAGATCAATTTAAGATTTTCGTCAATTTTATGTTCAAATCCACTGCTCCCCCCCCTAAAGAAATCTTAGATGGGGGTTTAACTGTAATTCAGTCACCACTCGCCTTCGCAAGGTATCAAACTCAGGGCATATAGCCCTTACCCAATCACTTCATTGATGGAGATAACCAATCAGAACTTCCTACCGCTTCAAACTACTCCTATCTGTTCTGATATGTGCTAACTGATATTAATTACAGGTACCAATTCTTTGATGTTTGTGTATTCGGGATCTGTTGAGAATATTTCAAGTAGTTCACTGAAGGTTGGCCTGTCACGTGGTTGATAAGCCCAGCATCGTTCCATTATCCTATAAACGCTGTTTGGGCAATGTTCTGTTTGTCTCAAACGCTCTCCCTTTTCCACCAATTGTATGACCTGAACAACATATAAAATATTAGTAACATGTTATTAACCTAACAGATTCAGGAACAATACTGACTAGCATAAAGGCAAAGGTAAAGTGATCCCTGTGCTTAATTAAGCACTGGAGGTGTGGCTCCATTCTTTCTCTGCCTTGGTACTAGTTGGAGATGAGTGGTCAGCTTCATGCCCTGACAACTTCACCCTTAGAGAAAGAGCTGATTTCTCTCAAATCACTGTTTTCCACTCCATTTCCATGTTACAATTTTATATCAGTTTCCATTCTACTATGTTTGGGACCAAAGACATAATTTTCTGAGTAAACTAAGTTCATATTCATTTGCATATTCCATCCTAGACTGGTTTTACCATAATGACATGGCACCATCAATTTTAAGTATATTTATTTATGATTTATTTAGTGACAGTAACTCAGATTATGGAGCAAAGAATGACAGTGATTAGTAAATAACAAATTAGATTCGATTTAGAAGGAAGTGGTGATGATGTAATTTGAGGTATCATCCCAGCAACTGCCTGAACAGTCTCAGAAAAAGCACAAGAAACCTCAACCAGAACAGTCAGCGCATTGGCTGAGATTAGAACCAGGCTCTTTCTGAATTCATGTTAGAAGCAAGAACTGTTACCACTTGAGGAAACTGGCTTGACATGAAACAAGAAAATGCCCATCTCACTGTTACTTCTCAGAATGTACGCACGAAACAGTTGCTGTACGCAAGCATACTTACCTCCGCACCTCTCATTTCTCCGTAAGGCTGCTGCCCAAATGAAAACATTTCCCATAACGTTACTCCAAAACTCCATACATCGCTTGCATGAGAGAATGTTCCAAAATTATATGACTCTGGGGCATACCTGGTAAGCAAAAGGAAAATCAGTATATGCATCTTTAGTATCAGTATAGCATGAACAGACTGACTGATTCTTAAAGGTAAAGTTATCCAGCCGGTCATGGTAGCCTGTTTGTCACCTGTTTGTGTACAGGTAGAGGCCTTGTGACGAGCTGATCACCCGCCAAAGGAGTCCTACTGAATGTGTAAGATCTAGAAAACCGAAGTGAATGGAGAAGTTCATGCAGGTAGGCCTAGGCCCACTGGGACTGTAGTCCCAAGAAAAAAAAATTATCCATGCGCTCAATTAATTAAGCACTACGCCATTAAGACATACTGCTATTGGAAAGTTCCCGGACTGTTACTGTTGTAACTGCCTTGGTGAAAGAAGATGAGAGGGGAGGCCAAGGTCACACTTCCGCAAGCTTACTGCATCAGTCTGCCATGTGACACCACACTGTGAACATTCATTGTTTTTACACGAGTGCTTTTTTGACTTTGTGTTTCATTCTGTCTGCAATGGATGGCAAAATCAAGCAAAGTGTCTGCATAAAGTTTTGCATGAAGCTTGATAAATCCACTACCAAAACCACTGAAATGCTTTGTGAGGTTTCTAGAGAACATTCTTTAAGCTGGAGAGCTGTTTTTGAGTGGCATTCATGTTTCAAGGCAGANGTGACATTTTGAGATGCTTGAGAGACAATTTGTGATGAAAAAGAGCAGAATTTTGGTGCAACCACAATGGGCTCCTTCATCATGACAATGGGCCCACCCACATATCCCTGAAAACTACTGAGTTTGTGACTAACAACAACATGGTTATCATTCCCCATCCTCCCTACTCACCAGACTTAGCCCCTTGTGATTCTGCTTTGTTCCCCAAATTGAAAATGAAACTGAAGGGATGACGTTTTGAAACAGCATCTGACAGCCAAAGGGAATTGTAAGCGGTACTCTACAGCATTAAGGAAAATTACTTCCACGGTGCTTTTGAAGTGTGAAAAAAATGATGGGATCGCTGTATACATTCCCAAGGAGACTATTTTGAAGGAAATGGGAACAAAAATTTCTTTTTGACCTAGTCCAGGAACTTTCTGATAGAACCTCATATGGGGGAGTGGATGCATAGCTTCAGCATTCTTGACTTCAGCACTAGTTGGTCAACTTCACATCTCAGCCACTTCACCCTAACAGAAAGAGACTTTAGTACTCATTCAACAGGAGGTTAAGTGGGTGCCAGAGCCTGAACAAAAGTTGCAGAGAGGAGAAAAGAACTTCTGGCCCTGCCATGAATCGAACCCCACCATCCAGCCATTATCACTATATGAAATTGGTTGTCCCTGACTGATTCATAGATTATTCAATAATGCTGTTTCCATCAAATTGTTTGGCACTGCAGTAATGGTCTTGCTTCAAATTTTGGAGATGCTTGGTTCAAATCTCCACTGACACAATGGCTATCTTGATTGAGATTATTCACTGTTTCCTTGCATTCCTCCAGGCAAATTCTGGCAAAGAACTTGATAAGGCCCCAACTCTTTCCAAATCCCTTTCAATTCATCATTCATCTACCACCCAACCATTTCACACTGTACAGTTTAACAACTGACAACATCATAAAATAATCTGTTTCACTTACTTGGGTTATACAGAAGTGATAAATACTGATAGGTGATCATAAACAAAGATTTTAAACGTGCCAATATTAGGGGGTTAAGCGCCATATTTAAATTCAACTGTAATACTGTATCATCCACAAACAGGATATCTTAAATATCCTCGTTCTACAGAACTGGTGGCCATATTTTAACTTGTCGGACAATGGTATTACTACTGAAAAAAATGTGATAATGCTCACATGCCATTGACATGGCACGTGGCTATGAAAGGTATTTTAATGTTATACACATTTTCTTGTGCTTATGTAATTAACGTTATCATGCGGAGGGAATGCGTGTGGGTCCAGGTATGAATTGGGACTAAGGTCCTTCACGATTTCAAGTACACACCAGAAGAAGTAAACTCATACCATTTGATGGGCCAACGCCCTCCCTGAGTGGCTTTGTAGTAATCACGGTCATTTCCGAGAGCCCGAGACAGACCAAAGTCACTAATCTTGGCCTGATGTCTGGATGCAAGGAGGATATTCCTAGCGGCCAAGTCACGGTGAACAAACCTCTCCTCTTCCAGGTACTTCATGCCTGTGTGAATAAAACTCCGACTTGAATCCACAAGTGACATCTACTCAAAATGATACATATGAAACCATGCTATGGTCTACAGTGAAACCCTCATTTAAGTAGTTACTATAGGATTCTGACGATGGTGTATAACACACAGAGATATCTGGTTTTCTGACTTTATCCATCGTCCTGGTTTTAAGATAACTAAGAAAAACACAATGTTTTGGAAACTGGATCTGTTTCCATCGTCAGGTGAGGGAAAACGCCTATTCTGTTGGTTGACAGTGATTGAGGGACCCAACAGAATAGGTGTTTTCCCTCACCTGAGGACGGAAACAGATCCAGTTTCCAAAACGTTGTGTTTTTCTTAGTTATCTTAAAACCAGGACGATGGATGAAGTCCGAAAACCAAATATCTCTGTGTCCCTCATTTAAGGTTTCTTTGGTGGGCAGTGGATCTGAACACTAAACTGGGGTAATTTTGAATAGAGACAATTTCATCCTGACATTACTGACTTGGGATCGATAGAAATGAATATTGAAAATTTGGGAACACTGGACTGAGACTCCACTGCAGTGCATAACATTTGGGACATTGCGGAAAACGAAAAACTCTTGCCCCAGCTAAGAAGTGAAAAGAAATTCCTTGGTAATTCCACCTGTAGTCTGCTCATTATACTGACTGTTCCAGTTTCAAGCATAATGGAGGAAATGCTCATGAAGGATTCATAATTGAACCTCCACAAATGTGCAACATCAGTGTCTGACAATGGTCTCAGAAGTTACGAACAGAACCTGATGCTGAAATTAGAAGCTGAAGGCAAAGAACTGTGTGGAGTTTATATGGCACGCAGCAAGAAACACAACATACAGACACATGAAATTACGCTGATTAAGTCTTGAATTTCCTTTTCACATAATACATTCTTTACTTCATTTGGTAACTATCTACAGCCTACATGGTGGCATATCCCAGAAGACTGCAATTTTAATATAAACAATATGAAACATTTATTTTACAGCAAATCTTGATAAGACAGATCACTTACCACATGCAATTTGTGATGCCCAGACTTTCAGTTCATAGTTTGGATTTACTCGGTCAGGGAATTCCAACAAGTAAGCCAACATTGAACCCAAAGGAACCAGTTCTTGAACCTAAAAACAAATTAACAGTAAAATGGTAAAGCACATACACACTTCCAGAAAAGATAAAACAATGGGAACAATCACAAAGAACGATCAATACAAGGGATCCATGGATGGCTAGTGAGAACTACACATGAAGTGGGCATGTAAGTACATAATAATATAACATACAGACATACAATAATAGCAAATTCATAAAATCATGATATATATTTGCATTAATAATAAACATATATCATCTATTAACAAACAAACAAAACAATGTGCAGCAGAGACAGAATATTCATTCTCAAACAAATTTTAATGTAAAGGACGGTATGCAACAGCAAGGGAGGCGTTGATATACGAACTGGTGCAATGCGGCATTATCAATTAGTGAACAATTACCTGAAGATGGCCGTGTAAGGCCAAAACATGTTGCAATTAAATGTGACTGTAATGACATTTTGAAATAAAGGAGAGATTATGAATGGTGTCGCATTAGAGACGGAAATGAGTAAACGACTGATACACCAACACACCAGGATGCTGAAATATAATATTAGTATAAATAGCCAAGCGCTATTTATGCTCTTTGTGATAAAAAACAGAAACAAATTCATAGTAAATTCAGAGATTCATAGAAACAATACCAGACAGCAAAATAATCTCCATCAGCCTCTTGTAAATTTGAGTAAATACCAAAAGGGAGTTTATTGTTTAGGAACAAAGGTCTGTAATAATCTACCACAACATATTAAGGATATATCGAGTGACACTAAGAGTTTTGAGGTACAATTAAAACAGTTTTTACATTTACATTCTTTTCATTCATTACAGGAATATTTCTGTTATAAATCTTTTTAAGATGCGAGTAACTGTCTTGCTTTACAATCAAAAGAAGACAAGAATGTCAGTCTGTGTTCTAGTTTTTAGTTACTTGTTTTAGATATACACAATCTTTGTATCACTGTATACTAGTCTTTATTTCAATTTATTATACTATTAATGTATGTTATATAGAACATATTAATGACATTGTGTTTTAAATACTGAATTTTTAATTAANCCAATCGTCCAGTTATCTTAAAAACCAGGATGATGGATAAAGTCCAAAAACCCAATATATCAAATTGTATAAGGTTTGCCATTACTTTTACTACTAAAATTAACTTATTTTATTGTATTGTATATGTTTATCAGTATTGTATTACAATTGTGTATGCTATTAGATGACAACTGTAATTCTTAGTTGTGACTAACCAGGACGATCTCCACATCCGCATGAGAATGTACTCTCGACAGAATTTATGGAAGGTGGATAAATGAAATGAAATGCCTGGGCCAGCCATATTTGCTAGCTATAATGAGGCAAAAGTTTTAATAGAACAAAAAACAATGGTCTCAACTCAAATAGTAAAGACTGAAAATAAACTGATTCAGAATGTCTTCTAAAGCTCTTTGAAGGGTCTATTAATGCAAGAATTTCACAACCACAGTTTAAATAACACAGAGGTTCCTCTCACACTACTGCCAACTTGGTATTTCCATTTGTACAAAATTGCATGTCCCTATACCTCTCTATAGACATTTTACTATCATCTGATACTATGAAATGCATGCAATAGGAAAAGTATCATTAAATAAACTTAGAAACAAATCTAGCTGAAAACCTACTGAAAGCAAATCAGATCTTTTCTATGTTAATGATCATTTTTAATGGGTTATTTAACGGCGTTTTCAGTATCAAGACTGCATAGTGTCAGATAGTAGGATGACTGATGGACCAGATAGGATTTTGAAGTGGTTGTGGCATATTTAAGCCACTATCCTTGGATTCGCCCAGAGGAACAGAGGAAAACCAGCTGTAGCCCCAGCAAGTCTGGAGCATTCCCTCCTCCAGCGCAAGCTGTTTCATGGAGTTTTCTTGGTCTGAACACTTACCATAAGCAAAGGAGGTCCTTTTGAGACTCCTATTAACCTCACTACACAATGATGGTTCAGTCCTATCATAACTTTAGCCTCCCGCAGAAATTCATCACGGTTAGCTGCTACATGCTCTTGGTGTAGAGTTTTGATGGCTACATCCATCTGTAATGAGAAATATTCAGCTGTTCAAAACATCTGTGACTAGAATCTATATTCAAAGACGAAGAGCGTTGCTTTTGGGCTAGACACAGTGTAGTCTAACAGAAGTCCATTGATATCTGTGAATAGTTTACTCTTTAACTCCCAGTAAGGAGACAGTTAGGTTCTCTCAAACGTCAGTGGCCTTCTACCAGACTATGGTGTCTGACATCCCAGAAGATAGTACTCTGCATAGTCAATGGTGTGAGGATCTCAAAACCAGTTATTTGAGAAGGATGTGACACAGGACAGTTTCTGCGCTTTGTGTGTCATCTTACTTTATCTTTTTAATACGAAACCCATGTCATTTTGGAAATGGGTTCTACTTCCTTTTTCACATACATACATAAGACATTTTTGCTTTATTGGGGCCCATGACAGAGACACTCTCAAACCTTGAATTCTGGGTATGCGAGGGTGACACTCATTCATGTCAAAAGTTGGTGTTAACACAGTAAATCACTACACGTTATCACAGATGATACTGATGATATTCCCATGCTGGTGACTATGAAGTTCGTGGTCTTCTGGGATGTGATCTGCTTGACTGTCACCAATGATTCAGAGGAATCTGCTGACTCCATTATCAGGGCAAAACAGAGGGCAAAGTATGAAAAAAAAACTGGTATACACTATTGAGAATGGGGGTTCATTCCAGAAGCCACTAATCTAAAAGTTATAAGTTTATTACTTAATTAATTCTCTTTTAAACGTTATGTGTCACATTTTATAATGACCAGGGCATGCAGTAGCATAGTTAGCTGCACTATGCAACAAGCTACAAGGTCGCGGGTTCAAGTCTCGATAAGGTCACTGGATTTTTCAATTGACTTAATCCTTCCAGCCGCACTATGGCCCTGGAGTCGACTCAGCCTCTAACAGAAATGAGTACCAGGAATCTTCCTGGGGGGTAAAGGGCACCTGGCACATAAGGTTGACAACCTCATCATCATCTATGAGCCTTTCTTGCAGAAAATGAGAGCATCAACCTTTCACCACCCTATAGGCCTTCACAGCCTGTTACAGGGATAGCTGCACCTTTACCTTTATTTTATAAGTGTGTTAGCACTGGCAATTTTCTTCACTTTTATCCACTTACTAATGTCACGATTTTGATCCCACCAAATTCAGCCTTTTGTCTATACTACAGATGATCAAACTTGAGCATTAATATAAAATATGATGAACTGTTACCATTGTACCATCTGGATTCTGATATGTTCCTCTGTAGACAGACCCAAATTCTCCTTCACCAAGAACTGCACCCAAAGTTAGACTATCCTGAGGTATAAATTCTGAAACAAGAAGAGTAAACAAAAGTATCTTCAGAAAGTTAGTCTATTTTCTCTTGTAAGTTACTTCTTTAATTAATATCTTTTATTTGTTTTTAGTTCATTTAGCAACATTTTCTGGGTTTTATTTATTAGAAAGCATTAAACTGGAGGATAATTAGATTATTTAAGGGTACTCTCCCAGAATTACATGAAGACTGAGGAAAACAACGAAATTCTCAGTAAATGCAGTCAGTCCCTAAACCAGTATTCTTCCCAGCACCTCCAGAATGTGAAGAAGTGCTGACAGGTGCACTGCAATGTTCAGTACAAGAAAGAACATTATAAGTGATAATTTTTAATATATATTAAAAATAAAAAATGAGGTGTTTAAGAACAGTAAGGGGATGTGAGAGACAGAATAAACTGGGAAATGAACACATCTGAACAGAGCTAAGCGCAACGGAATAGTTAAAGAATATAATTTAAAACACAAATTAAACTGATTACCCAAAGTGACTGTGTACCATTCAACTGAGCACACTTATAGACGTCTGTGACTCTGCCCAGAGCAGAATATTGTTTCCGAGCATATGTCATCACCAGCAGTGTGAGCTTTATCAATTATTCTTTGTTTTTAATAACACTGTCTCTACGGGCTCAGTGATAGGATGATTAATGGACGTGAAGGAAGTGGTAGAGTGAGAAATGGTAGAGGAAATCAGCCCTGTGTGACTCGTATCTACCACAAATTCCACATGACCTGACCTACAACTGAATTCAGACTGTCACACTGGGAAACCCAAGATCCAACCCCTGAGCTATGGTACAGCCTGTGATTTGTTATAATTTGGCCCGTAACCATTACACACTTCTACATGGGCCCCTCTGCAATAAAGACTGTCCATAATTTACATATGAGTTCACCATTACTAACCATTATGTTTTGGTTCTTGCTTTATTAGAACTGGTGTCACAGTTTCCACATTATGACTCCTGTCAATTGGACCTGGGAGAGGGGACGGTAGCGCCGGCACCGCTGGTACAGATAAACCAACAGTAGTATTACTATTACTGCTATTAACAGTCAGCGAGCCACGACGACTGTGAACAGGCGATGCCCCTGCGCTTGATGATGGTGACACTCCGTGACTTCTGTTTGGTGAGCGTTTCAATGGCTTTCGATGAGGTAATGTGGCTGACAACTGAGTGGAAAGAAAGAAGAAATATATTCTGTGATTATTTATATATTCTCTATTTTCACGGGCTGTGAAGCACTTTGTACTAATATTTCACAAAAAAAAATTTGTGTCAGTATTAAGTACATATTTGCTATTAACCCACAAGAAGTCCTCAATTTCTTCTATCTTCCTACAATCTTACGTGTTCATTTCGTGGCAAGTTATTTTAATTCATCTTTCATGTCTTCTAGTGCCTGCCTGAACAAACCTGTTACCCGTTCACCCTAAAGATCTCTTCTCATTAAAATTTAACTCTGTCTGTTTCAGTATCACTGAGCTATCTATTCCTTTTACATGGCTGAAACTATTACAGTCATTTTTCTCCTAGCTATTAATCCCTCCAGTGGTGACTTGAAATCCAATGTGTTTTCTCTATAATACCAAACATGTCACTACTTCAACCAGGCAGCCATGACAGATGATTCAATATATGGGTGCTACAATCTTCTGGAAAACATATGACCTACAAACAACAGTGATCACATGGCATGGGGAATTACCAGAATATATGCAGTAGAAACAGCAGGGGAATCACTCAAAAGTTCTGTGAAAATCACTGATATGGTTAAGACCATTTGGACTCCAATTTGTTTTCTAAGAATCTCACTTTTGTCTCTATCCCTTCTTGTTAGGGGTATGTGGTAGCGTAGTTGGTCAAGGCACTATGCTATGAGCCAGAAGGTTGCAGGTTTGATTCCCGATGAGGGCATTGGATTCTTCAATTGATCTAATCCTTCCAGCCGCACTATGGCCTTGGGGTCAACTCAGCCTCTAACAGGAATGAGTACCAGGAATCTTCCTGGGGGTAGAGGGCAGCTGGAGCATAAGGCTGACAACCACATCGCCATCTGTGAGCTGACTATTTAAAAAATTTGGGAACTTTGACATCTCACAATATGGGCCTCCACGGCCTGTTACAGGGATAGCTTTACCTCATACCTTTTTATCGAAATTGTTTTCTCTCAATATTTCTCAAAAATTTTCATACCCACAGACTGCCTTTTCCTGTTATCATATCAGTCAAGAACTTTTTATATCTATGCAGGTGACCCTCTTTATATGTCCTTCTGTTACGCGTGTTTCTTGGTTCAATTTCTGTGTCATGACAGGCATCAGTGTCCTATCCACTACCATGGTAGAAGTTTCTGTGCATGCACAGTGAGCTGTACAGACAATTTCCATGTTTTGACACAGTTCTGTCATTTCATAGTCTGACACTGTGCTCAGTGTGTGTTCAGTACACTTCTAATTGGACTACTTTCTGACATATGCAGCAAAGCTCAGAAACACAACTACTACATATAATGAGAACCAGACATATTTCAGTATATTAAGCACAGAAAGTGATACATTATTCATTCTACATTCTAATGCATTTATAATCAAAAAGGGTTAAATAAACCTTATTACATCATCCATACTAACCATGTGCTATAAACCATGATTCATGTTATAGAATGGCTGTAGAACTGAAAAATTTCTGTCACTGCCAGGAAGTCAGGCATGACTATAGCCTAGTCCTGACACTGACTGACTATCACGTTCAAGAGGAAGTCACTGCAATCTTGTACCTCTATTACATGATATAGCATTATTGATTTGCTGTCATGTCTGAATCCTAGTACAGTAGATTTAACCATACTGCTGCGATGTTCAACTGAAGTCAAAGACACATCCAACAGTGTGCAGTGCAATAGTCGACTTTAGTCCACATCAATAAATAATCATCTCTTTTACTGCGTCATTCAATGTCGTTCACTGGGCTATGCAAATACATTCTTGTTGCATTTTCTTCATATCTTACCTTAAATGGGATTAATTTAGGAAAATGGTTAGAAAATAATACGCAGCAAAATGGTTAAGCAGTATTTATAGGGCTCTGAGATTAGTACTAAGAGAAATGGAAGAGGTTTCTTAAATGCACATATCTGACATGGTTTATAATCAGGGCCTGGATTTTGATGACATGTCATCTTTTTTCCTTGTATCCTATGCGATGCTCTTAAATACATAAATCTCGGATATGAGCTGCTGGTTAGAGAAATGTAAATTTTATAGGTAATTTTTTGTCACTCTTTGACGCTTTTAGGTTTAAAGTCATTTTTTCATTTTTGGGGTAACTTTTGGGTAAATTTTTGGACTTTTAAGGGTATTTCTTGTCATTTTTGGCCATTTTAGGGAATTTTTCTTCATATGTTTTCTGAAATGTGAATAATATGGAAGTGAAGTGTTCTTTCTTTTCTCCTTTAGGTCATTTTTCTGCATTTTTTCGGTCATTTTTTAAATATTTTCAGGTCATCAAAATCTGGGCCCTGCTTATAATATACAAAGACCCTGTTAAAATGGAATGAAACCGAAGAGAGATGGTATTACTATATACAAGTATATATATATATATATATATGTTACCTTTTGCTTTCTAAAACAAATTTTCTCTTTTTGTTTCTTGTTTTATTAGTGACAAACAAGCTGTTTTTAGTATTTAGTTGTTACCTTACATTATGCACGATTCTCACCCCATTAAGCAGTAACGAGGGAGGCATCTCAGGCACTGGGGGTTTGGGCATGGGAGGAACTGGAATCTGCAGTGTTGTAGGCAGACCATCCGACATTAGGCTATAGTGTTCAATCACATGTTGCAATGAATCCAAATAAGGACCATCATCAATAAAGAAATAATCGCCCTAAAAAAATCATATTAAAATGAAAAATTAAAATAAACTAAAAGCAACAACAAAATAATATAATTAAAAAGAATATTAAGTGACAGTCTTTCTGTTAATGGTAAAAGATAATTTGTGTAACACTGGTGTGTGGGATCCTGTACCAAGGGAAGCCATGGTCTCAGTAACGGTAATGAAACAGAACAGAAACAAAGACAGATATTGGCAAACTAATGGCAGAAGAGACGACATTTTTAAGAAAAACAGAAGGAAAACCAAGTAAAAGTAAAGTAAAGATATCCTTGTAACAGGCCATTGAGGCCCATAGGGTTGTGAGATGTTGAGGTTCTCACATTTTCTAGACAATCGGCTCACAGATGGCGGCAAGGTTGTCAGCCCTATGTGCTGGCCGCCTTTACCCCCAAGAATATTACAAGAATGTTGCTGGTAATCATTTCTGTTAAAGGCTGAGTCGACTACAGGGCCATAGTGCGGCTGGAAGGATTAGGTCAATTGAAAAAAATCCAATGACCTCATCAGGACTTGAACCCGCGACCTTCCGGCTTCTAGCATAGTGCCTCAACCAAGTAGGCTATCGCGTGCCCCAGGAAAGCCAAGAGAAGGAAAAAGAATAAGAAAAACGATGCAGAATTTAAAGATAAATTAATAAATAACAGAATAAGATAGCATGGGCACATTTAACGAATCCCGAAAATGGTTTTGACCATAAAACCAAAAGGCAGAAGCCTAACAGGAATACTGAGATCAAGATGGGGACAACAGGTCAGGAAAGATGTAGTGAGGATGAAAGGATAAAACATGGAGGAAATTGAGGAGGAGGGGATTTGGGAAGCAGAGATAATTGACGAGTTTCGGTAGGTACATGACACATGTAAATGCGGAAAGGAAGAAGAATAAAGTGAACAGTAGTGACACACACTTCTGATAGTATGAATGTTAAAATCATTAAATGATCCCATTGACATTTCTCCATACAACTTTTTTTAAAACACTGAAGTATGTGGATTAGTTTAGGACCTGCAGAGAAAAATGAATGGCACCAGGGTTAAACAGATGGGAAAAAAATATGTTTATCTGGAAAGCAAAATATATTCAAAAGGTGAAATCAAGACAGAAACAAAAAGAACAGCATAAAATAGCTCTAAATTTTATCATATCACAAAAGGGATGTTCTGGAACAAAGAGGTCCAAAATCAATGCAACACACTTACCATTATAAAGAAAAACAAAAGCGAAATTCAAGAATAGTTTTGAGAAGTACTGCAGGGGAAACAAGAAGGGACAGAAGTAGAAATTAAATTTTTACAGAATAAATTGAAATTCCAAATTCATTAATACAGTTAGTACAGTTAGATGAGAAATGATTGCAATGGTTTTTTTTCCCTTGGCAGTACAGCCACACTATGGCCCTGGGGTCAACTCAGCCTGTAACACAAATGAATACCAGGAATCTTCCTGAGGGTAACGGGTGGCCAGCGTGTAAGGATGACGTCACTGCCACCTGTAACCTGACTGTCTAGAAAAGCCTTGACGTTTCACAACCCTATGAGTCTCCACAACCTGTTATAGGAATAGCTTTACCTTTACCTTTTCATTATTATTATTATTATTATTATTAATTCTACTATCATTACTGCTATTACTACTGCTGTTGCTTAGGCAATAATATTTTACTGTCAGGGCCCTTCCAATGAAATACATGCACAATGAAGAAGTTCAAAACTCAAATCACCTGTGTCTTGATTTGAAAATGGTATGGCTGGCCACAATAGATGGTTGTCAGCACGTACATTCCACCATTACGATCACTGTATCGGACAAGGAATGTTCCATCCTTGTTCCCGAGCTCCTTTAACATGTTCACTGCTTCATTCCTATCCAATGTACCATGATACCAATCTTTCTTCTGTGTTTTTGGCACTGGACATTTGTAATTTCCTTGTGAAACACAATGCAAACAAACATCATACACTCTGTCTAAACTTAGAACAAGAGAACATCTTTATCAGCTCATGATGTAGGCCTTTACAAAAAACAAACTCCGTGGTTTTAGTCAGCACGCCAACTATACCGACCGAACAATCGCTGCTTGTCGGCAAAGTTAGTGCCAACTTTAGGGGATAGAGGGTGTCACGTGGGCAGCCCAACAAATCCCCACAGCCGTTAATTTCGGTTTTTTAGACCAGTGCCACTATTTTTCCATTCAAGCAGCGCCTCAGTTATCATCACGAGGCTCAGTGGACCCCATTTAAGACCCACTACTTCTCAGAAAATCTGGTAGTGCCGGGAATTGAACCCAGGACCTCAGGATCAGTAGCCAGGAACTCTGACCACTAGACCACGGAGGCAGTCGATATAGGCCATTATACAATCATTATGTCACTAGGTTCTATTTTCAATATACTTTCGGTATTCGTACAACAATGGGAAATTCAAACATATTTACGCAGGAATCCTCTTCTGTAAGGCTGGTTACACAAGGTATACCATACCCTGGTCTATATAGCAGACACACAATGGCAACCATTCTATATGATGAAGCACTAACGTTGGAGTTGAAAGTTCCCATGTCATGAATGTGAAGGCTACGGTCTTCTCCAATGTGACACCACACAAACTGCTAAAAAGTCACCAGCATTTTGGGGGAAACTGCTGCCTTCACACTGAAGATGGTGGCCACATGTTCCGCTGAAACACTGGTAACTTTCCACTGGACTACACAGCCTCACATCCAAGAAGACACTAAGCTGCAAGTGTTGGAGGTGGTTGTTTATATCTGCTGTTTGGTTGCTAGCCAATCACACAAAGATGGCTGGCAAACATTTTTGAAGCTGCGTTTCAAAACTTAAGTGGAATAATTTCTGTACACATGAGCATAAACTTAATTCTTACTCACATATATACACATGTAAATTAACATTCTGATACTAATTTATTTACTGTTTTTATCAAAATATTTATCTGAAAAAAAAATTCTGCATGACCAGCAATTCTTTTTATGTGCCACATGTGCAAATGCTTCAATATTGCTGATATAAAAGTATATATGTACGATCTGTTATAAATTAATTTACTTTAAGTAATTTTCTGTTCAGCCCTTGTAAATGGTAATAACCTTGCAGATGGTGCATTCTGATCAGTGAAACTTACGGAGAATCCTTGCACAGTCCTGGTAACCATTCCTCATAGCTAAATCTGCTGGTGTGTCATTTGCTATTGTCCTTGGGTTGACGGGTGCATTTAAGGACAGCAGAACTCGTACAACCTCCTTGTGGCCTCTACTTGCAGCCTCATGAAGTGGAACCCAACCTATTCAATAAACTTTAGTTACAAGAGTGAGAACTGCTCGAAATAGGGCCTGTCTCTGTGATGGCTATGAAAAATGATTTAATGTAACACGAAGTATGAAAAATGACAGAACTAACTGCCTCCAACCCAACTGGCATCACAGGATCAGAAAACAGTAATGTTATCTTATTCAAACAACTGTCTAGTACAAAATTTGAGGTTTTCATAATACTGAAGATTCATATTGTGACCTTCTGCGTTATTACACCATATAACGTGGTAGCTGTGTATCAGATTTTCTGAGGAAATATTGTATGGTATCCAGACATCAGGCAGTATGTTCCTCCAAAATGTTTATACCTACCTACCAGACCATACAGTGTCATAAAAAAAAGTAAAGGTATCTCTGTAACAGGCTGTGGAGGCCAATAGGGTTGTGAGATTTTGAGGTTTCCACATTTTCTAAACAATCTGCTTGCAGATGGTGGTAAGTTTGTCAGCCTTACATGCCAGCTGCCCTTTATCTTCAAGAACATTCCTGGTACTCATTTCTGTTAAATGCTGAATCGACCTCAGGGCCATAGTGAGGCTGGAAGGATTCGGTATATTGAAAAAATCTACCTCATCAGGATTCAATCCTGTGACCTTCTGGCTTGCAGCATAGTGCCTCAACCAACTACAGACCATAAAATGTAACCAAAGTAAACTCCTGGTTAATGTGGTATCACCCGACCAAAATTTCTACGACAATTTACCATCTTTTAAACTTACTTCATATATAAGATTGTGATGCATACATGTTCGCCTGTCAAGTATAAGTTTTAGCAAACCACCATTACCAGCAACTACCAACGTTGACTGATTTTCAACGAACTACATGACATTATACCCAGGAGACAGAATTCTTCATGTATACAAACAAGACAAGCTTTACACTGCACTGCAACAGTTCTTCCTAAACAGCATGATATAATTTATAGAGAACAAACTCTAAATGACTTTACAATTACCTGTATCCGAGTTGCGAGCCTGAATATTGGCAAATCCTATCTGCACCAATATCCGGACCGTGCTGGGTAAGTTGCTTTGACACGCATACTGAAACCAGGCAAAGATATTTTCTTCTACTTGGTAAGTTTTAAACAACAATGTATGCAGTAACACCCAAATTAGCAGAACATTTCAAAGACTACAGCAACGAAACATTCATAACACAAAAGAATACTGAAGAGATTGCTTTAACATGACACTGCTCCATATGGTCATATTCCTGAATCAAACACAAATGTGCAAATTGTTATACCATGGACCCAATTCTGTTATATCTGCTTACTACTGCCCCTTCAGATGCATTTTCAACCTTGTACAGTATATAATAAAATCATTCTTTCCATCTTTATGAGTGAAACAACCCAAGAACTGCTGAATAGGTCTGTATAACATTTGAAATTCAGTAGCTTTACTAATATTTCTGAACACATTCAACATTGGTTAAAATGAGGCAAGAATAATGGACACTTTGGGGCATGCGGTAGCGTAGGTGGTTGACGCACTATGCTACAAGCTGGAAGGTTGCGGGTTCAAGTCCCGATGAGGTCATTGGATTTCTTTCAATTGACGTAATCCTTCCAGCCTCACTATTGTCCTAGGGTCAACTCAGCCTCTAACACAAATGAGTACCAGGAATTAATTAAATAACTTTCCTTGGGAGTAAAGCGCAGCCGGCGCGTAAGGCTGACAACCTTACCGCCATCTGTGAGCCAATTGTCTAGATAATGTGGGATCCTCAACGTCTCACAACCCTATGGACCTCCATGGCCTGGTACAGGGATAGCTTTATTTTTTACTTTTATAATGGACACTTAACATTAAGACCTACACAACTTTCTGTGCATATCTCAGGCAGAGACCACTAAATATTTACCAGAGCAAAAACTGCTTCGAACACAAGTTGAACAGAATGAAATGGATCTAAAAGTTTGTGACAATGTTATATTAATAAAATTAATGATGTTCTGGACACTATCCATGGTCCTGCTTTTCATTTAAAAACTTTTTGGAAATTGGATTCTGTCTCTGTCCTCTGGTACTAGTGGTGCTTGTGTTGCCTACTGTCTGTATCCTGTGTTGCGTTAGTTCTGGTGTCTGGGAAAAGGGACTAGCTCCATTAACTGGGTGCAGCTGTGTAAGCTTTTTTACCTAATGATGGAGACAGAGTTGTTTTTAAATAAAAAACATGATGTATAACATTTTAAATGTCAATAAATGTAGAAAGAAATGAAACACATTTTATGCCTAATACACTCTCTTCTACTTCTAACAGAATTTGAGATAATTAAACAAGAACTGTTATGCTATTCATAAATTTCCTAACTTGTATAGAAACAAAAGCTATCCCTGTAACAGGCTGTGGAGGCCCATAGGGTTGTGAGAGGTCGAGGCTCTCACATTTTCTAGACAATTGGCTCATAGATGGCAGTATGGTTGTCAGCCTCAAGTGCCGGCCACCCTTCGCTGCCAGGAAGATTCCTGGTATTCATTTCTGTTAGAGGCTGAGTCGACCCCGAGCCATAGTGCAGCTGGAAGGATTAGGTCAACTGAAAAATCCAATGACCTCATTGGGAATTGAACATGCAACCTTCCGGCTTGTAGCATGATGTCTCAACCAACTATGCTACAGCATGCCCCAACTTGTATATTCAGCAATCAGTAATGGTGTAACAAAGGCCACACCCCTGGAGATTCATTAAATCCAAACTCCACGTTGTGTTTCTTTAGGTTATACAGCATACAGAAGACTTGAGCTAAGGCTTATACCCAAGCACTGCCAACATACAGTATCTGTAACTGCAGTACATACGTGCAGTGGTGTGTATCCTGCTGTATCGCGACAGTTAATGTTCGCTCCGCTCTCGATTAATTTCTTGAGGATGTCATCTTTGCCCATGCGACTTGCCAAGTGGACAGCTGTCTGCCCTTCTTGGTTCTTTGCTTCCAGACTGCGATACCCACACTTCAGTAACTCTGATACTACTGTGTAGTTTCCTAAAGGATTTACGATACTATTAGCAACAAGCAAAACACAAGAAGCAAAGATGAATGGAACTTCCTGGGTTCAAATTACAGCCCACAGCCTAGGTTTGCTGACTGAGATTTTCATGGTTTTCAATGTCTCTAGGCAAACAACAGCACAGTTTCTCAAATTGGGCCCTGACTGCTTACATCCAAAACTTTTATGCACAAGACATGGCATTCCCATGGACAAACAATATAGGAGCCAGTTTACCATTCATTATTCAGCTGATCATTCTACACTGTAGGCTTCTGAAGAAATCATTACATTAAAAAAAAAAAAAAGAAAAGCTATCCCTGTAACAGACCGGGGAGGCCCATAGGGTTGTGAGACATCGAGGCTCTCACATTTTCTAGACAGTCAGCTCACAGATGGCGGTCAGATTGTCAGCCTTATGCGCCAGCTGCCCTTTACCCCCAGGAAGATTCCTGGTACTCATTTCTGTTAGAGGCTGAATCAACCCCAGAGCCATAGTGNCTGGAAGGATTAGGTCAATTGAAAAGTTCAATGACCTCATCAGGAACTGTAACTGTGACTTTCTGGCTTGTGGTACAGTGCCTCAACAAAGTAAGCTGCAACTGCAAACCTTACATAAATATGCATTTCTTTTGTAAAAGGCTTAAAAAATTATCTTATCTTTGAAAATGTCAAAAAAATTTCAACATCATAAAACAAATTCTTACCTTCCTTTGTGGCTCTGTGCAAAAGGTTTGTACGTCCATGTCTACGGGAATCATGTGGTGGGAGATCTTTCTTACAGACCTTAGTCAGCTTAGTGACCAAACCATGGGCCGCTTCCTGATAGTATTCAATTAACGTCTCCAAGCCATGAATTATGGTATGTTCATCTATGGAAACAAATCACTCAAAAGAATGAGGTTCTCAAACTGGTGAATTTCAGGAGTATAATCTTCTGGGTTGTAACACTGCATAATTTGGTAGAAATCCACTGAAATATTGGAGGAATATCAGAGGATTTCTACCAAACTACATAGCATTATAACCTGGAAGGTCTTGCTCTTCATTCAAATGAAACCACTTCACACTAAGAAAGTTAAAAGGGATTCTATGATGTCTGATCCACTTTCCACATAAAAAGTAAATACCACGAAGCAAGAAGGAAGAAACAAAAGACCTAAAGAAACACAATATAACGCATAGCCATGGGCAATCACACTATCTTAACAGAAGAGGGTACAACCCAATTTAAAATACAGTATCTAGTATTTTAATAACTAAACTCAACAATAATTTTAACTATAACTTTAATTTAAATTTTATTTTAAACTAATATGGCAGTCAATAAAAATCATGTTAAGATTTGAAGTTTTCACAGCGGTGACTATGAAGAATGTCATCTTTTGGGATGTAGAGCTGTGTAAATCTACACGGCACCACGGCGTCTTCTAGGATGTGGTGTTGTGTAGATCTACACAGTGCCATGTCCCAACAGATGGCATTTTTCAATAAAAATCATGTTTACTGTAACATACCATCATCTGAATATTTTAGACTCAATACTGAGTTCTTATATACCTTTCACAAAAATATTTTTATGAAGAAATTTGTTAAGAATATGGACATGGTCTGTTTTGTTAAGCACTAAGTAGACTTAAGTATTTCTGATGCCTTTGGCTGGCCTGTACTTATTCCATTAATACAGTTCTTGAAGTGTACATGATTATGGCTGTGTGTTAAACAATACGCCTCTTATTTGCATACTTTCAATGCCACACAGTTACCTGCAAAGGCTGCTTAATAATTAGACAAATGATAATATTACTGGAGTGCCTTATCTCTTGTCTTACTCACAAACAGGTTACTAATACCTTACAGTGACGCATAAAAACCAACATGTACAGTTCATCATAAATTTCACAGATTCAACCCAAAGACCTGTTTCACCCCCACTAAAATCATCTTTGCTCAATCCATAGGTCTTCTAATATTCCCTTTCACCCCATGGGCCATATTTCGAAATCACCTTTTCGATCAGTTTTCTTTCATTCTTGAAACCTGCTCACAACACATACTTCTAGAGTGACATTCTATCTGTAGTATTATTAGCCTGTAATTTCTTTCTAATGCCTTCACCCTGCTTTCATATTCACAGTAGTGCTAGTGGGGTTGGACTAAGTCCCTTGTACTGCGGCCACTTCTGGCCTATTGTACCAGCCCCAGATGATAGGTGAGGGTGATTGTGGAGCAATTGGTGGAATGAAGATTGGCAGGGAAACCGAAGTACTCGGAGAAAACCTGCCCCAGCGCCACTTTGTCCACCACAAATCCCACTTGACCAGACCTGGGCTCAAACCCGGGCCGCCACAGTGGGAAGCCAGCGATTAACTGCAGCCCTAATCACAGTATTACTCCTGCTAGTGATCTGTGAAAACACAAAGTCAGCAACTACAACTGTTCAAGATAATATGATCGCATGAAATAACGCAATCTCCATTGTCTAATCTGACCTTGAGGATTCTTAACAGTTCACTTTTTAAAGTTATTTTTATTGTGCCATACAGAATTACGAGACAATCACGCAAATTTCTTGGTTTGCAGAAAATTCCTGTGTATGAAAAAACTATGCATTTTCATTATAACCTTGCTCTTTCCTACCCTAGGTTAGTCATTTACTGGTGTTCTGTCCAGACTGTCATACCTGACCACGATCAGCCAGTATTATGCTGCAACAAAGCAAAACATTCCTCACATTCCTCTTCAAGAATGCAATCTAAGCACACTGGTTTTTCCTTAGTCTGAGTCTGAGTCTTATCTTACGACCGACAGTCAGTTGGCTGGTCTGTCTTGCAATAAAGCACCCATCTGGGGATTATGACCACATTTTTATTACTGTCAGACAGTTGTGGGTCTGTTGTTGTGGGTCTCTCTCTCTGGCAAGAGGACTGGTTTGTCATTTACAATTACTGTCAGCCCTTGCTAGTGCAGTCATTCTTGGGCCCGAGCCCCGTGGGACTTTAGTCCATATTTTACTGTCTCAGATTCGAGACTTCCCTTTTTCTTGCCGCCCATGACTCGCTGGGCTGTGGTGGAGGAACTGCACCTCGCCTCCACATAGACATAATGTTTCCTGTGTCACTAAATGGCACCTGCAGTTACCTTTCGCAATTCCATGACACTGACTTTTAACATATTCCACTTTGTGAACCAGCTTGTATGTGCCTTCCTGTACACCCTGTAGTCTTTTCTACCCATCCTACAGATTTTTCTTATTTTAACCTCCTCAGCTGTTGATCAGATTTGAAAACACTTGATTCATTCGTGGCTTGCCTCTCAATTGAGAAACTTGGTCTGGAGATCACAGAAATGCCCAGATACAATCCTAGGGGCAGTTATGTGAACTGGCCATTATCAGGACCCTGAGTTGAAGGATGTGTATATCCAAACTGTGATCAGTTATGCTGATTTTTGTCCTTCGGCTATTTTCTCAGTTTCCATTTTTTCTTCTTCTGACTAGTCCTGCCCTTCTGTCCACCACACGTAACTTTGATTTGTTTTAGTATAGCTTCATTTAACTACATCTGTGATTGATCCTAGACCTGTCATCTGTTAAACTGCACAACTGAATTAAAGATATGCCAAGTTCTGTGGGTATTGCTTACTGCGTACATTGGCGCCCCATCAATGTTATGTATACTGCTTATTTTATTATAACATATTTAACTATCTCTATTACATCTGTGCCAGTGATTTATTTACTTGCATTGTAACTTCAACCAGGACAATCTCAGGCAGCGGTAAAAAGGTAAAGGAGGGGGAATAGCATGAAGGCAGTTATACATCTATGTCCTACATTTCCTTATGTACAACATTCAGGTCTTGGGCATTTGTATCTCGTTGAAGTGGGCTATGCTGGTGATGTCAGATGAACAGGCTGCCTCCATGTGAAGATGAAGCATGAATTTCCAAGGTGCGAACAGCCACAAGCAAGATCATAAACAATAAACTACTGCAAAAACCTAAAAATCTGCGATTCCTTGGATGTATGAAGATTTATTGTTACTTGTTTCTTTACCGTGAAGTACTGCAAACAGCTAGTGTACTGCTGGTCCAGCAGTTATGCTAGAAGCAGAGCTGCTGCGAGTGAATTAACATACCATAATTGTTTCCCACATATAAAACTTTTAACTAATTAACTTCATGATGCTGAGTCCTTCTTGAGATGCTACCAGTCGCTCAGCTATTCAACACCTTCCCAGCATTTTACGGAACCTGAAGATTCATTACTGTGTTCATAAGAATCCTCCAATGATCCCTATCCTGAGCCAGATCAATCCAGCAAGTACCACCCCATCCTACCTCTCTAAGATCCATTTTAATATTATCCCCCATATACACACCTTTACAAAATTATATTTACCTATGGAAAAAAAGGCATCCTCTCCATGTCGTCGTATCTGATAATGAACAACTTCTCCCTCATGGAGGACAGAGAGCACATAATCTCCAACAGCCGTGTTGCTTTCCCGAACCAGGAAAGCTCCGTCCTCATTTCCGCCATCTATTAACGTAAAGAAGATGAATCTCTCCGTGTGTTTAATTAAGCACCACACCATGATGATGTATGGAGGTATAGCTCCATATATACTCAATCTTGGCACTAGATGGAAGTGAGAGGTCAGTTTCATGCGTTGGCCATTTTACCCCATAGGAAAAAGTCCCCACTACCCACTGAATAGGAGGATGGATTGGCCCCAGAGCCAGTCTTGATGCTATTAAAAAGAAAAAAAAAATTCTTTCCCCTTGCCAAGATTGGATTTTAGGGTTCTGACACACATCACTATATATCTTTGTAACATATCACCATACAAACTTTCATGGGGAATATACGAGGTATGACGCTCTCATGGCTGTAAATATTAAGATTATGGTTTTCTAATGGTTTCTATGTAATCTGGCAGACAGGTACCAGCATTTCTGAGGAATTTGTTAGTCCATATCTAATAAGCTACACAGCATCTCAACCCAGAAGTCAAATTATACTGATTGTGAATTACTATCATCACATCAAAATACTCAGTGTAGGATAAATTTCGAATTATACATTACCGTTTGTCAATATTTGTTCTGCTACTTCTCGTGACACTTTTCCATGAAACCAACAAATGTTGTCCTCTTTATTCATCATCATGATCCTGTATGGACTACCCTGGAAAATAAACAGCAGGCTGTAAACAAAATCCCTCGAAATCAAGACAACCACAACACATACATTTACTTCATGACATCATTATCTAAAATTATCTAGAAAACCCACTGTATAATCATTATATCTGAACTGAAATATGGGATTTTAATCATAGTAACTTCAGACATGTCTCATAATGTTCACAAAGAAAAAGTCTATTTATTAATCTATCTTGGAACTCAGACTTGTAAGCACCTACGAGCTAAAAACGCCGTTCACTGTATTACTCACGTGAGAATGGTATATAACCTGAAAAAACAATCACTCTTAATAATAAAATCTCCTAACACCAGTACCTTCTTCACCTGGCATAAATTTTACAAACAAAACGTTGTTTCAATCGCTTAGACGTCCAATATCAAACATACGCTGTTACGCTCATATTTTCTTCTAATATTGCAAAATGTTCAGTTGAGTAGAAGTGTAAAATGGGCCGAAACGTTGACATACCATTTATACGGTTTATAGTGAGTGCAGACGGCAATCCAACTTTATTTAGTGCTGTGTCACCAGCAGTAAAATGACAGTGAAGAGATTAAACATAACCTCGATATTCACGACCTAACAATCCTAACATTAGAACATTTTTAGTAATCACGTACTAATCCGTCGTGATATTGTGTTGCCATTCGCTGTATAATACGTAATCAGCCATTTCTCGTACATTAAACATATAATAACAACAAAAAGTAATTGTCTAGCTATACCTTTACATATCAGTGATACAAAGTTAAATGTTTTAACGGTTCATCAGTGTTTGGTGCATATTCTACAACAAAGCTTCCCATCTCCCTTCACGCTCTTCGTAGTACAAAAACTACTGTCATGTACTCGTACCGGATACAGCTGTAGTGTTTGAACAGGACATAATAATTAGCGTAATGGAAGTCAGACGAATTCTAGTTTTATAAAAAAGAATTGCTTGGAATAAAAATTCTCGAGTATTTTTAAGAGTTTATATATTTATAACGTTAAAAATTATGCTATATATCAAACTTACCTTTGAGAGTAACAACTTGGTAACAAGTTTGAACATGATAATATTGTTGTTTCAGAATTATATTACATTGTTGCTATTGTTGTGTCATTTCGTACCATTGCTAGCTTCATCAAATGAATGAATATGGGTTCTCTCAGTTTTATGTTAATCATATATCGTTGTATGGGTGAATGTATTGTTTCGTGCACTTCGTTTACCTGCTCACTCCTGAGCTCTCCCGTAATACATGCGTGAATGGTGGTGAATCAACGAGACCTTCAACAAATCTTTGAACGGTGAATCATCCATTCGTCAACAGGGAAACACGACGTGCTCGTTTGCAGAATAACAATTACGTACACCCGATGTCTGTTTTAACAGGTGTGCATGTGAATAACGTCGGTGTTGTACTGGAAGTAGACATGAATAAGCAAGTTACCCGGACGGAAATAATTTTGCAGCAAGAAGTGAAGATCCCTGTTCTTAATTAATTAAGTTTCACGCCATGAAGACGTAGGTATAACACCCTATTTTTAGGTCTGCACGAGATGTAAGTGGTCAGCTTGACGCCCCGGCCGCTTTGTCACTGGGGAAGGAAACTGTGATAGCCATTGGATAGGAGTCCGGATGAACCCCAGAACCGGACTGGGGACTGTGGGGAAGAGAAAACTACCTTGAACTGCAACTCATCGGCTGTCCAGCCTATGCCCTAGTTATTCTACCAAATGAGCTATCTTGACTCCAAAATTATACAAATTACTGACGGAATCAGTTGTAAGTTAGAGCAAGACATTTGATGATAAAAATAATACAAGGGCAAAAGCAATACTTTTAAGACCCGAAGCCAGTGTATTCACAAGTAGCAAAACAACTGAAATGCCTGAGAAGCATAAGCTTGATAGTATGTGTGTGCATGTCTGTATGGTTTATTTAACAAAGCCGTCAGTAGCTCAGACCATATAGTGTTAATTGGATGGATGACTTCTCCATGTGGAGGCAGGTTAAAATACCTTCACCATAGTTCTGAGTCATGGAAAGCAACAAAAAGGGAACCCAGTGCCTGGGGATATAATTGGGCCACCCAGTCACTGAGGGGCAAAAAGGCTGATGTCCTTGCTCTATAAGATAACTATTGTTGAGAAATCTAAAGAAGTGAAAACCAGATGCTGTCTGGCAGAATCCTCTAAGGAAGGCTATGAATCAAAAGGGCTGTAATGTCAACGATGATGGTTGGATAATTAATGAGTAATAAGTTGGAAAGGATTTGGAATGGAGCAGTCATGGCCTAATTTCAGGTACTGTAGTACTTGCCTTGACAGACTGAGGACACAATGAAAAACCCCAGTGAGGAGAGTTGATGGTTTGTCCAATATTCAAGCTGAGAACCTCTCAAATAAAAGCCTGAAGATTTACCACTTCAGCCATCTTGCTACACTGATAATATACTCAGATGTTACAACAATGAAGAGATGGAAAGACCATAGATGAAGTCATATGTCCATACATATCATTGAACTGTGAACCCGCAAGTGTAATAAGGTTACAAGGTGATGCTGAAAAGGGAATTTCAAGACTGGTAAAAGTAAAGTAAAGCTATCCCTGTACCAGGCAATGAAGGCCCATAGGGTTGTAAGACGTTGAGGGTCCCACATTATCTAGACAATCGGCTCAAAGATGGCGGTAAGGTTGTCAGCCTTACGCGCCGGCCATGCTTTACTCCCCAGGATAATTATTTAATTAATTCCTGGTACTCATTTCTGTTAGAGGCTGAGTGAACCTCAGGGCCATAGTGCGGCTGGAAGGATTAGGTCAATTGAAAAAAATCCAATGACCTCATCGGGACTTGAACTCGCGACCTTCCGGCTTGTAGCATAGCCCCTCAACAAACTATGCTACTTCCAGGCAATAAGTTGCCTAAAACATAAAGACAAGATGAAAGATTCCTTTTTCATGTAGCTTTACTGTTCATCGGGAGCATGTGGTAGCATAGCTGGTTGATGCATTATACAACAAACCAGAAGGTTTCAGGTTAAAGTCCCGATGAGGTTATTGAATTTTTCGATTGATCTAACCCTTCCAGCCACACTATGGCCCTGGGGTCAACTCAGCCTCTAACAGAAATGAGTACCAGGAATCTTCCTGTGGGGTAAAGGGCGGCCAGTGCATAAGGCTGACAACCTCAATGCTATCCGTGAGTCAATTGTCTAGAAAATATGGGAGCCTCGATGTCTTACAAACCTATGGGCCTTCAAGGTCTGTTGTCACAAGGATAGCTTTACCTTCTTCTGCCTCAACTGGTCAGTTTGAAGCTGTACAATTCCCCTATCCTGTCTTTGTTGTCAGTGACACAGTCAGGATGTTCAGATATGTACCCCAGACCCCCATTCTGATAAGCAACATTAACTACATTAACATTACATTCTTCTGCGATGTGATGACATGTGGTTTTGTCTCCAGTCATGCACCATCTTATTCTTCAACTTACCATTTATTAGGAAATAAGATATTATATATATGCAGTCACATATATATTCATGCCTGGATTTGAACAGAAATGCAAAGTTTAAGGTCTCCAAAATAATTACAATTTTAATAGTAAGGGAAATGTAAACAAAATGTTAACCCTTCCAATGTCACAAAATTTCACCAAAGTTCCTAAAGCCAGAATTTTAAGTTTTGTAACATCTTAATATCAGTCCAGTACAGCAAAAGAGCCACTCCTGCCATCAAGCATCATTCACAGAACTGAAATAAGAGCAATGAAAATGAATGACAGGTCGTGGAATGCATTGTATACAACATAGAAAGGAAAGAAGACAATCACAGAATATAAGAAAATGATATACAAAGAAAAACTCAGGTGTGTAATAAATTGTCACGTGATTGAGTGACTATAGGTGGGGTTTGGACTGGTAATCAGATTTATTGAACACTTACAGATCACAACTACAAGTAACAATGGCACTACCATTGAGTCACCCACTCTACAGTTCACTACAGCATGCACTAAGTCCTCTCAGTCTGCTGCGTCTTCACCGGTTGCCAGCTGATCATGGTTTTCAATGCCTCAGATCCATGTTCACATCCTTACTGGCTGGTGAATGTCTCACAACTCGCCTGATGTTACTACACAACAACTTAAAACAATGGGGGCTCCTCCACCAGAGGCAACTGTCTCACAACAGCCTCTGGCTCAAATTGGTCTGTCTCTCTGCAGACTCTCTCCCTAAATTCTCAGAGTCAGAGTTACTTTATAACTGGCAGTTTACCATCAATCAGTTCATCTTGGCACCAAGCACTTTGAGGCTCATGTATTTTTTTTTACAACTGAACCCTTGTGTTCAAAATCCTTATGTAACATCCTCTCTGACAAGAGTCTGGGTTTGTCAGTTGTGAATAAGCTTCATTTCAACTGTGTCAAGCGTACATATTGCACATATAGCATGTCATTGAAAATTCTTCCTTTTGCACTATATACGTGTCCTCTGTCAGTTCAGGTTTTGGACTCAAGTCTTCATATATAGCCTCTGCACGGACCTAACAGAAAACACCGCTCCTCTGATTGATGTGGGTGACATGGTATCATGTGTTCCGTTGTAGCGGCATTGTGCCCCTTGCACCGGACTGTGTGGCAACACCACTTCCCACAGCTCTCCTATTGTTACATGACATCACCATCATTATGGAGATGATGTGCTTACCGAGCTATTGCCTCACAATGGACATCTCTTCTGATTAAGCTATTCTGGTTTTCAGTGGTCATACCACAGTACTGTATGAGGGAGAGTCAGTTAATAGGTCACAGATGGAAGTAGAACAACTTAAATGGGCATAAAAGATTTTCTATGTAGCAGCACAGTCCAGCTTCATGACCTTCATGACAGTTGAGGTAGCAGACATGCATGTGCATGTTCAGGGGCTGGTTTTAGTAGTCAAAATAGTGACTGTACTTGAGGAGTACACTACCAGAGAGTAACGTTCTTTGTGTTCTTTTGTGGGCAAAGGATTCAATACAAAGGATCTTCATAAAGAAATGTTTCCTGTTTATGGTGGGAAGTATCTGTCATGTAAAGCGGTTCACAACTGGGTCAAGAAACGTTGCAAACGTTCCACTGATGGTCAACCCAGAGTCCTCGGAATACTTCATTTTATTTTTATAATATTTCAGTAGTATGATACAAATTTAACAATCAAAGTTTTCTGGGTTCAATCATGGCCATTGACCCTAATATTGAAAATAAAAAACATGTATAATTTCAGTTGCAATTACCTGATGATGATGTTGAACAAACTTCCCAAAATGTGTTCGTGTATATATATATATAGGTCAGCCGTGAAAAATATAGTACATATAAAAAATGTGACTTCTGTGTTCTGTTTCCTACTGCAGACCTAACAGAAAACACACAAATACTCATATACTATGAATAGTACTCTGTACTCTCTCCAAGAAGGCTCTTAAAGTGATGTGCATGTACTGCAGTAGTATTTTTGGATGTATTCGAAATCTTCATTATAATCTCCTTAATTACATTAACATACAATATTTTCTTAATATGAGTGTTATCCTTCCTTTAAAGTCTTACCTGATGTAGAATATGACAATGAAAATGAAAGAAATTATATCATAGATGAAGAACTGGTATGAATTTTGTTGCTAAAACGCCAAGACTGGAGGTTTAAATTCTGCCTTGGACAAGGATTTTTGTTCAGCACTATACTTCTTTCGCGATGGTAGAGATATTGTAATGACCTGATTGTCCAGCCATAAAGTTCTACTACCCATATGAATAAGAATTCAGAAAGTCTCTCAAAGACAAGGCTGTAGTTTCCAAGGAGGATTCAATAGGAAAGTCCTAGACAAAAGAACTGAGAATATATGTTGAAGTGTACAGAGCGTAATGGAAGATTTCTTTAAAATTGTTTATTTATTTTTGTGATTTAATCTTTATAATCATACTCCCTTCAGTAGAACAAGTTTATCTGCTTTGAGAATCAATACATAAAATAGGCCACATAAATGTATCTACTGATGTAATACAGTGCTAGAAAGATATATATGAAGAATGTACATACCTCCATAGATACATACTTATTCTGTTGCTCCTAATACAAATTCTTTCACCTTGGCCTCATCTGTCACCTGACTTCAGAAACCTTCATGTGTATAACAATGATATCACTAAGTACAGTTTAAGTGTTCTTTGTTTTAGCTTTTCTAGCAGGTTAGATTTAATTGCACTTAATAAGAGTGGGATCACATCCTGCAGTCATCCATTGATGCTACAGTTAACCTCATCAGCACCATCAGAACAATCCTGTTTGCCATCACACAGCTGCTGAAGAATAATGCATCTGCCATCCAGGCATCGAAGTTCTCCTGCTGGACATGGTGATGTGTGGGGCATTGCTGTCAGTTGATGGCCTGCATTATAAGATATATGTACAGATTTTAGAGGCATTATACATTATTACATTATATATATTATTACATGTTGATAGAAGAAATTAGATTTAACCCTTTCATCCCCACATTTTTCAAGCATTGACATATTTCAGGCCAGATTGTTAGAATTTGAGGATCTGCAGTTTTTCTTGTTATTTCCTCAATTATGCCTGAAGGAAATGTTTAGTACATTTCAACTTATACACAAAACAGGCATGAAAATTCAAACATTGAAAGCATGGAATCCAAGTGTATTATATGTTGGTATGAAGAAATAGGTTGGAAATGTACACTTGGCATGGCAGTTTGATATATTTGCTTTTTTTATGCTAACTTCTGGTGATGTGTTATAAACAGCAAAAAAGCTGATAGTGTTAAGCAAATGTAAGTACATGAAATGTGTCTTTCCATTTGTATGCATCATAACAGGGTTTCAATCATGCAGACTATAAACAAACAAGAATATCCTTTGTTTTATTTTTAATTGCAATGTTTTGCTGAACTGACTTAAACATTTGTTTTCATGTAAAATGATCTACTGTAACTAAGATTAGAGGCATTGGTAGCATGATCAATTATATTTTAAGCACATAAATATAATTTATTCACACAGAGATCATTGGTGTAAATTCTGTTTTATTTTATCAGGAATGGGAATTTATGGTAATCCTTTTTTTTTTT